GTCGGCGGTCGCGGGGGCCACGGCCGCGGCGGCAGGCAGGGAGGCGCCAGCGTCGCGGCGGCGGGCCTCCTCGGCGAGGGCGGCGTGGATCTGCCAGTGGGCGAGCAGGTCGGCGTAGCGGCGCAGCGGGCTGGTGACCTTGACGTAGACGTCGAGGCCCAGCAGGAAGTAGGGGCCGGGCGAGGCGCTCAGCTGGTGCTGGCCCGAGAGGGCGGCGAAGCTGTTCTCGTCGGTTGTGTCGAGGGGCCGGTCCGACAGCACCTTTGGGTAGAAGACGTCGCGGGCCCAGGGCAGCAGCACGGCCCGGTTGAGCTCGGCCTGGGGCATGGTGCGGTAGGGCATGGGGATGCCCCTGGCGGCGCACCAGCGGCCCGCAACCTCGCCGGCGAGCAGCATCGACGTCGACACGAGTGTGTGGCCGCCGTTGTCCGGGTACGACACCTCGATCGAGGGGTCGCCGAGGGCGCGGAACGAGCCGTCCGGGGCCTCGACCACGCGTGTGTTCTCAAACGAGAGGCGCGCGACAGAACGCGGCCGGAAGGCGCTGGCGGGCATGCCGCCTTTGGCCTCGAGGACGGCCCGGCGGGCGTCGGTCAGGCGGCCGAGCAGCTTGAGGTCCTCGACATCCCCGGGCGAGAGGTCACTAATCCTAGACAGCGGCTTGACCTCGGCGCTCAGGACCTCCTCGGATGGCAGCTCAGGGCCGACGCGGATGCTGTCCTGCGGCGGCTTCGGACCAGGTGGAAAGGGGCAAACGGTGGCCAGCTCTTCGACGGTCATGTAGACGACGTTGCCCAGGTCGCCGGGCGTGATGTCTAGGTCGAGCAACGCTCCGCTCTCGTCCAGCTTGGCGCTGAAGGTGAGGCAGCGGCTGCCGCGCGCGACCGAGAACCGGTCCTTGACGGTGTCTCCAGAGAACATGGGCTCATAGTGACCAGGCAGGTAGATGGTCTGGGTGATGATCTCGGCGTACTTGGCGGCTGGGTCTCCGGGCACGATGGCCGACGTGGGATCCGCGATGTGCACGTGTATCCAGTACTGCCCTGGTGTGTCGGTGCGCTCGATCGACAGTCCATCGTCGACATCGGTGGTGGAGGCCGAGTCAATGCAGTAGATCTTGGTGTCTCCCCAGTCCCTCCGCTTTCCGGGGTATATGTCCCGGTGGAGCGCCTCGTGGGAGATGGGCTCGGGACGGCCGAGGAGGCCGCCGGTGCGGCTGACCTGAAGACCTGGGGGCGGAAGTGTGTGACGTGCGGCAAAGTCCCAGGGGAGGATCCAGCCCACTTCCTGCAAAAACATCCAGCCGACCGAGACGTCAAGCCGCTCGATGTGACTGTAGCGACCCAGGGCCTTGAGGATGGTGGACCCGTAGACATTGATACCCGATTCGGGCGCGAACTTGCGGCTCGCAGCCCACAGGTACATGAAGCGCATAATCTCAGTATCATCCTCCTCGTCAAGCCAGCCCGTGGCCTCCAGGGGCGCATCATCTGCGCCGGCCACGGCCTTTGCCTCGGCCTCAGCCTCAGACACGGTAGGACAGGGACCTAGGAGACCCATTCCAGCGCTGTGGTCGCGGAGCCTGCGACTGCGGTCGATCTGACGACGGGCCCTGTCGACGAACCTCTCCAGTCTGTTTTTGGGGCGGTGCTTCTCCGACTTGTCTTCAGATAACCGCGCGGCCTGGTCGATGTAGTAGGCTCGCACAATATTCTTGGCGGTGCGCACCGCGTCGACGTCTTCGGCGGGCAGGACCTCGAAGAGACAGCCGCGGAGGCCAAAAGCGGCGCGGAATAAGGGACAAAAGGCCTCCTCATGCTTGAGCATGGCACGGTGCACGGCATAGACAGCTTCGACCGGAATCTCCATGGTGTCTAGGTCACGGGCCTGGTGGGGAAGCACCACCTCGGCGGCCTCCTCGGCCGTGATAAAGGAGCCCCCCGACTGCAGTACGGCTTCGTGCGCGCCCTCGAGCCGGGTCGAGTATGTCTGCGTGACGGCAGTTGCCTTGGCGGCGAATTCTGTCATTTTGCACAGCAGACCCTCGGCAAGCTCCCTGCTTGGCCCCTGATGCTTGTCACGTAGCTCCACCATGGCCTCTTCCGAGGTGCCCGAGGGCGGCAGAGCACCGCGTACAGGAGCGATCTCGGCCTCTGAGGCGAAGCCAGGAACGATAAACCTGGTGTATGCCGCTCTGGTAAAAACCCAGCTGCCGTTGTCGGCGTAGAAGTGGTCTATGCCATCGATACGGGCGATACACACGGCCATCTGACGCGCCCTCTGGGCGTTGGACGGGAACTCGACCAGGTCGCCGGCCTGGATGCCCGACGACATGGGCTGGAGGTCCTGTTCCAGATCAAAGTCGACCTTGTCGTCCGGGCTCCCCCTGGCATCCTCGTCCAGCTCCGCGGCGCCATGCGATGTCTGAGAGCGTGTCGCGTTGTTATGCGTAGCCCACGGCAGCTTGAAGGCAATGTTGTCCTTGTCTATTACCTTGGCCTGCCCTTGCTCCTTTTCCCACTTTGCCAGCTGCTCGCGGATCGAGGATTGCTTGGGTCCGGCATCAGCCGTAGCCGCGAGGGAATCACGGTAGTTGGGCTTGGGCTTAGGCTTGGGATGACGGGCGAGGGTTGTGCGGTGGCGCTTGATGGTCGTGAATGTTTGCACCCCTATACGCAGTATAGGAGATGCTGAGAGCCCTGACGTGACCCGGGGCCGTTGCAGGTCTGGCACGCCGGCGGCGGCTCGTGGACGCACGCCCCGGGCAAGGCAGTTCCAGCACACATAGGTGCCGCCCCTCCTGGGTTGTAGCATGGCAACGCGCCCGTTTGCAGATATTGCGAGCTGTTGCTATGGGCTCCGGGGAGAACTGCTTCACATGCCAACTCCAATGGGTTGCATGGCGATGCCAGGCTTGACATGCCGTTGTCGTCGTCTCCTCTGATTTTTTTTTATTGATTTTTTATAGTGGGGCGTTGGAGATACTCACGTCAACGGCTACATGCGCCGCGCTGTCACGTGCCGTTCAATTTGCCAACAGCTTTCATGTTTCCTTGCCATTTGCGAATGGCAAAGCACCAGCAGCCCTACAGGAGGCATTTCAATCAGAGGAGACAGATCCACATGATAGCTGAACGATCTGCCTCTTGGTGGGAGGCGTGGTATCCGGCGAGAAAGCCCCGTCCGCCCTGCTGGGGCGAATCCTGCGTTTACCCCTCTCCTCACACATGTCTCAGGGGTAACTGAGGGAACCTTCTTTGTTCCTGGCGGCATTCCTTCGGCTGGTGCGTCACACCTGGCGGACTCACTGAGGCCAAGACCGCTGATCTCCAGACGGCTGGCTACATTCTTTATTCCATACCTAGAACCATGTCCGTTTGCGTCCGTCCGCTGCGAGATCGACGGTACACCCAGGGCCTCTTGAAGTGGAGGGATGATCCCTTTGAGCTCTTGTTGTATATAAGTTTGGGACCCATCCTGACCCGAAGATGTGGTTTTCAGTAGTGTTGGTAGCCTGCTTACTAGTATCGAGTTTGCCTCCAAACAACCCAAGCACTATACCAAGTGAGCCAGCCTGTCAACCTGTCCGAAGCTACAAGTCAACCGGATACGCACACAGAAACCCGGTCGTTACACCACCACGCCCACCAAAGCTATGTACATTCTTCAGACCGTGCTCCTGGGCCTTGCCGGCGTCGCGCTGGCCCAACACGAAGGCATGGACAGCATGGACCACATGGACTCTGCCACGGGCGCGGCAGACACGCTCCTGGTGGCGCCGGGCACCCCGAGCGTGCCCTCGACGACCGGCCCCACGGTCCTGGTGGGTACAGACACGGCCGTCGTCCCCATCGCAGCCACCAGCAGCGCGGACCACGACATACATGCCACAATGTCGCACGGCGTGTCCAACCACAGCAGCACCAGCCACTCGGCGCCCGTCCCCACCACGACCGGCGCCCCTCTCCCGGCCGGCGCCTCCGCCATGTCCGCGACCTCGGTGAGTTTTGTCCACATTGCCGACTCGGTGTCTTTGCACCATGTATCCAGGAGATATTTTACTAACATGATATCACAGGCTGGTGTCATTGCTCTGGTCTTCGCCCTGGGTTTCGCCGCGCAGTACTAAAACACCTGACGATAATCTACAGGCTGGCGTTGGTTGCTTTTGACGTTTGTCTTTTCATCACTTCCCGTTGCCGTTATACCTAAATCAAGGAAACAATGCAGTCTGGGTACGAGGAGTTCAGGCTGGGTTTGGGATTATCACCACGAATAGGACCGGGTTGAGACAGAACCGCCTAATATGATTTGGTACAGCAATACATCGTAAGCTTACCTATCAACTCGCAGTAACCCCGTAATCGCATCATGGCGTTTGCGAGTTGATCATTTCACGTGTAAATATTTTAGGCAGTATTCGGTCTTGTTGGGTTACATCGCCTTCTCCATCTTCACAACCTCTACAGAGGGAGTGCCAGGACTCAGAAAAGTGCCCAGACAAAAGGCACCGGAGCTCCGTAGAGGGAGACGGGAACATGCCCCTTTGCAGGGGAAGGACTTTGGGGTGGCAAAAGGTGGCGCCGGAGATCGTCGACACCGACGAAGGTGTGGATATTTGGAGGAGAGCCTTTGTTTCCTGTGCTGAAAGCAGCCCGAATGTGCATGCCTAGACTGTCACTTTGTGCAGTTTAAGCACACGCTCTGAATCAAGACCCGCGGCCTCTACTCGCACATGACCATTGGCACAGGCAATAGGCGCCGGATGTCGACAGCGGGCGGCGAGATCGAAAGCTACCTTGATCCCAGCTCGCAAATATGAATGGCGTGGGCGATACAAAATGACGACCTCCGAGGCCCGACGGCCGGCCGTGATCTGTGCTCAAAGGGACCAGACGGGCCCTGAATTTAGAGGCGGTGGGCGAACGGCACTCAGCAGCGCCTGCCAAGCGCTGGTGCGGACAAGGGCGGCCGCTTCCAGATGGGATCGGCTGCCTCGCATCAAAGCGAAATTTGCCATGCTGCAGCCCCCAAGGTCGCCCAAGTCTTGAGCGGGTGGGTGCCAACCACCAACCACGACCAAGCTTGTTCCCAAGAGATGCAATTCGCCGTCGAGCGCCACCACCGCCCCTTTATTAAACCTCCGGATTACTACGTTGTAATTGTGCTGCACCCACACTCGACCCCGAGTGCTTCCAGGAGCATCCAGGCATGAATCCCCTCAAGATACGGGGTGTTTTCTCGGGTTGACCACATGGAAAAGACCAGGTGGCTGGCGGGCTAGTGGGCTCATGGGGACATGATGGGGAGCCAGAAGTCGAAGCTATCCCGCCTCGAAACCCGGTTTTTGCTGACTCAAGTAGGATTGACCGCCTTATTAAGGGGTTCAATTCAGCGGGCTGGGTGCCGAGGATTGGGCGATGACGATCGTCGCTGCGCTGATTTGTGCATCACAACACAACACAACACAACACAACAAACTAACAGTGACGACCAAGATTTTTGTTTCCTGGTCGCCCGCAGGCTGTGTTTCTGTCTTCTCTATCCTCTCCCCTTGCAACAGTCCCCAGTGGCCGGAGCCAGGGGGGAGGGTCAACAGCGCAACGAACGAACAGCAATACTCCCAGCGGCTGTGCTCGCGATGACGGGTTGGCTAATGTCGCTTAACTCATTTCAAGTCAAGTCACCTTCACTATTCTTTTTTATTTTTCCCTTTATTTTTATTTCGTGCCTTCAAGCCGAGCTCCCCTGACGGCCCCACCGTATGAGAAGGGGGTTACCCTGTGTGGGTGTGCTTGCCAACCTCGGCGAGTCGCTGCAGGAACGGATGAAGCTCAGCCAACCAACCATGCGCCGCCCAGCCCACAATTACCGACCCCTATTCCTGCAGGCCCATTTGCTATTTTTTTTTTCTTTTTCTTGGGTGTTGTTCCCGAGTCCCCAATCTGCATTGCCGCCATCCCATCCCTCACAAGCTAAGTGCTCCATGTCATCTCATCCACCTTTCGTGGGCTGGCTGATCGATCGACGAAAGGCTCTTCAGTCTCGCTGAGCGGTAGGGACTCGTCGACGTGGACACGGCGATTGACACAGCACCACCTCCACCGCAGCCTCGTGTCCTGTCTGTCGCTTGTCAAGTTGGCATCGACGTACCTAGCCCTAGCGCGCATTAGTTTGCGGGATCCATCCTTGGTCGTGGTCATCATGTTGCCGTCCCATGTTCTCGCCCCGTCTTCCTTTTTCTGCCTGCCACCCTGGCCGCCAGCGTTGCCTATGGACGTCTCCCGTAAGGGGTTACGGGATCCAATTTCCATGGCATCTTGGACCACCCACCAATGGACCATTCCTCCTTCCAGGGCTCATCTTGGGGCCCCACAGACTGGTAAACAAGTCGAGGCGCCAGGCGATGGCACCCTGCTTGGCTTTCTGCCCGCCTCTTGTGGAAGCAGGGTGGGCACGGACACACTGGCTAGGTCCATGCCTCCTCAGCGTCCCATCCTGGCGCCCTCCACCGCACCGTCCACTGACCAACGCGGCGGCACCGACTTCTCTCCACCGCCATGAGAGCAATTAGCAGCCATGGGTGTGCCCCCCGAAATGGGTCGAGGCGTCAGGGTCTCCTTTCCCCTGGGACGAAAACCCACACCCCCCGGCCTGGCCGCCCGTACGCTGGCCATAATAACGCGCTGCCCTCGGGTTTTTTCTTCTCCAGCTTGGTTCTCTTTCTATTCCCCACGAAAACGTATCTGGAGGTTGCCCTTATCAACTTGAGCGCAGCTCTCGGCTTTGTCGTTCTCTTTCGTCTCCCTAATACCGCTTCACTCGTTCAGCGGGCACTCATTAAGACAACCTAATTCAGAAATCCTTAGACCTTATTATTCGGCAGCCATGAGGGGCTTCACCGTCGCCGCCGCTCTTGCGGCGCTGGCCAACGGCGCCACGGCCCATCGCGCCCATCGCCACGCCCATGACCTTTTCGAGAAGCGTGGCTTCAACGACACCGGTGTCTGCATGAATGAGTGCAAGACCTACTACACCACCATCTACGGCGAGCCGACCCTGGTCCCGGAGAAGCCCGCGCCCGCTTCCTCGACCGCTGTCACACCGGTTGCCGTCCCGGCCACCACCTCGGCCCCGGTTGTTCCTCCCAAGACCACCGGACCCCCGAATGTCCCCACGCCGATCCAGGAGCTCTGCCCTACGCCCGGCACCTACACTTTCCCGGCGAAGACCCTGACTTTGACCGAGACCACCACGGTCTGCGGTGCTCAGGTCACCAAGGTTCCTTCGGGCACCCACACCATGGGTGGTGTCACCACCGTTGTGACTACCGCCACCACTGTGGTCTGCCCCGTTGCCACCGCGGAGCCTCTCCCCAATGGCGATGTCACCAGCATTATCAAGATGACCACCTATGTCTGCCCTACCGCGGGCACGTACACCATTGGTCCCCACACCACCACTGTGACCAAGGAGAAGGAGATCCTGGTGCCCACTGTCACGGTCTACCCCCCTGGTACTTACACCGCGCCCCAGGTCGTCACCACCGTGACCGAGACCAGCGTGGTTGTTGTGTGCCCCTTCACCTCCCCCGCTCCGGCCCCTCCCGCCGCGCCCACCACCGCTGCCGCTCCGGCCCCTCCTGCTCCCACCCAGGAGGCTCCCAAGCCCGCCGAGACCCCCAAGCAGCAGCAGCCCGAGCAGTCCAAGCCCCAGCCCAGCACCCCGGCTACCAGCCCCAACCCTCCCAAGCTGGGCGGTGGCAACCAGTGGGCCATGACCTACACCCCCTACGGTCCGGGTGGCTTCTGCAAGGACGCCGCTGCTGTTGATGCCGACATCAAGCAGATCAAGGATGGTGGCTTTAACTCCATCCGCGTCTACTCGACCGACTGCGATACCCTCCCCAACGTCGGTGCCGCCTGCAAGAAGTACGGTGTCAAGATGATCATTGGTGTCTTTGTCGGTGCCCCTGGCTGCGACAATGGCAACCCCCACGTCGCCGACCAGATCGCCACCATTGAGAAGTGGGGCATGTGGGATCTCGTCGAGATGGCTGTTGTTGGTAACGAGGCTCTGTTCAACGGCTTCTGCACGCCCGACCAGCTCGTCACCCTCATCACCAAGGTCAAGACTATGCTCCGCAGTCACGGCTGCAACGCCCCCGTCACCACCACCGACACCGTCAGCGGCTGGCAGGCACCGGGCGTCGCGGAGAAGGTCTGCGGCGCTATCGATGTCGTCGGTGCCAACATCCACGCCTACTTCAACGGCAACGTCCAGCCCCTTGATGCCGGTGCCTTTGTCAAGAGCCAGATGCAGATCGTCGAGTCGCTTTGCGGTGGCAAGGCCGGCTACATCATGGAGTCGGGTTGGCCCAGTGCTGGCAAGTGCATCCAGAACTCTTGCCCCGGAAAGGATGCCCAGGCTACCGCCATCAAGTCGATCCAGGGAGCCGTCGGTGGCCAGACCGTCTTCTTCAGCTTCACTGATGATGACTGGAAGGCGCCCGGCGAGTGCAACTGCGAGAGGAGCTGGGGTTGCGGCAGCCTTTTTGTTTAAAGTGGATGGCATAACCCAGAGAGACTATCCGTCTGCTCGCCCCCACCAAATGTGACGTTATCATGTGAATAAACGCGTTTGTGTGGAGGGGACGGATGCTTAATGTTTTGTTTTTCCTTCCATTCCCTTTGTCGTTATTGATCTACCGGACAAATATCATGAGGATTCTACTGCATCACGTTCCTGCGAGACCTTGTCCGTCCCAGGCGAGGCCAGAGTGGAAGGGAACAAAAAGATAAACAAAAAGCTCTTGTGTTTGCCTCTCCAAAGCTTGACGAATTGCTTCACATTTTGTCTAGGAGGAACGACAGCCATGAGCGTGCATGGTCATGAGACGAGGTTGCTACGGTTTTTGTAATTCTGCGTTGCTTTGGATTTTGTTGATCCAGGGTTTGTCGAGTTTCCCGTATTGAATTCGGATACCACTTTGTTTTTGCTCATTCAGCCCAACTGTGAAGCTCGGAGAAGACTGTTGACCGAAGCTGCTCCTATGAAGTGGGTATGGACATGGCTCCATTCCATCCCAGCCTCTCCTCGGGCCACCCTCAAATATAGGCAGATATGACGGCCGTCTTGTCTATCACTCGTGCCTCTTGCCGATCTCTTGCTCTCTTCTTCTCCTCACTCCCCACCTTGTACTTCCCCATCTCCATGTTCCCAATCAGGGAGGTGGCATTCGGCCAAAAGCAGTCCCAAGCGACGGTTTAATTGCCCCTGGCAGCGTCCCGCTTTCAGGCGCCGGGCCTCCTTTAACCCCTTAGTCAAGATACGTCGGCTCTTTTGGAGCTGTCGCTATCATGGTGTCATTTCGTCTTGGCCCACGATGCGCGAGCGGGAGCCGGTCACAAGACTCTGCCAAGACATGGGGTTGGCGTATGCGAGCAAGGAAGAGCCGGCCAATTGCCGGCGATTACCGGGCGGGAGTTGTAGGTACCAAGCAAAGACCAGCAAGGTTAGGAACGTACGCAGACGACAAAGAGCCTGCTTGCCAGCCGCCTGCCGCTCCAATCATGGCTCGCTGGAGAGAGGCGAATCCACCATGCCATGCCCCTCCCCCCCAGCCTTTGGGGTCGGGGAAGACGGGTGTCAGGGCAGGAACTCTGCAGGTACGACGACTGTCCATCTCGGGCATTGCGCCGAATCCGGACCGAGGACAGAACAGGCGGGTGGGCTGTCTGTCCTCTGGCGGGGATCGCGGAGTGGTCGTGGATGAGGGACCGACGTCAGATGGCCCCCCCTCTGCTGGCAGCTCATGACAGTGGACTGCGGGCCATGACAAACCTGGGTACCTAGGCAGGTAGGCAGGTAACTGGGTCCATAAAAGGACGTCTGTTCCTCTCGCATCTCCTGACCCGGGGAGAACTTGTTGGGTAGGCAGCTTGGTAACCCCAGCCTAGCCGAGTGAGAAAACGGTCTCAGCAAGCGTCAGAAACATTGCCATGCCGGCCCGCCACCCCTCCCAGGCCGGCCGTCGCCTCGGGCTCCTGGGTTTGCTCGTATTCTTCCTACACCATGCCGCCGCCGGCCGCGAGCGGTCCAGCCTCAACTCGGGCTGGCGCTTCCAGCGCTTCGAGTCGAACCCGGACGGCCTCAGCTACGACGTCCTGAAGCCATGGCTGCTGCCCTCGGCCAACGACTTTATCGTTGATGGGACCCGCCACGTGCGGCCGTCGGACGAGCCCGCGGCCGTCGAGCAGGCCGCGGCCTCGTTCGACGACAGCGCCTGGGCCCTGCTCAACGTGCCGCACGACTGGGCCATCGAGGCGCCCTTCTACACGGGGCCCAACCCCGTGGTGGGCGGCAACATGGGCCGCCTACCCAGCCACGGCGTCGGGTGGTACCGCCGCACCTTTTCCGTCGGGGCGGGGGACAAGGGCAAGACGGTGTACCTCGAGGTGGACGGGGCCATGTCGTACGCGGCCGTGTGGCTCAACGGCCACATCGTCGGCGGTTGGCCGTACGGCTACGCGTCGTTCCGGCTCGACCTGACGCCGTACCTCGTCGATGGCGACAACCAGCTCGCCATCCGGCTGGACCAGCCCCTCGAGTCGTCCCGCTGGTACCCTGGCGGCGGCATCTACCGCGACGTCTGGCTGACCAAGGTGAAGCCGGCGCACGTCGGCCAGTGGGGCACCTTTGTTACCACCAGCGACGTGTCGGCCGGGTCGGCCAAGGTCGGCCTCGTGGTGCAGGTCGAGAACTCGGGCGCGGCCGACGTCGAGGTGTCGGTCGTGACCGACATCCTCTTCGGCGGCGCCAAGGTTGCCACCATCGCCAACGCCACCGTCACCGTGGCTCCTGGCGGCAAGAACTCGACGACGGGCTCGGCCGCGCTCTCCAACCCGAAACTCTGGGGGCCCAAGCCCAACCAGGAGCCGAACCTGCACGTGGCCGTGACGCGCGTGTACGGCGCCGCGTCCGGAGAGCTGCTGGACGAGTACGAGACGACGTTTGGCGTGCGGTCGCTGCGGTACGCGGGCGACGGGCTCTACGTCAACGGCGAGCGCATCTACCTCAAGGGCGTGTGTCAGCACCACGACCTGGGCTCGCTGGGCGCCGCCTTCAACGTGCCAGCGGCGCGGCGCCAGCTCGAGATGCTAGTCGACATGGGTTCCAACGCGGTGCGGACGTCGCACAACCCGCCCGCGCCCGAGCTGCTGGACCTGGCCGACCGGCTGGGCATCCTCGTGCTCGACGAGATCTTTGACACGTGGGCCTTCCACAAGACGGACAACGACTTTGCCCGCATCTTCCAGGACTGGTCCGAGGCCGACCTGCGCGCCTTCATCCGGCGCGACCGCAACCACGCCTCTGTCTGGGCCTGGTCGTACGGCAACGAGGTGCATGAGCAGCGCGTGTCGGGCGGCGAGGCGCAGGCGCGGCGGCTGCACGACATCGTCAAGTCCGAGGACGCGACGCGGCAGGCGACGCTGGGCATGAACAACGCCGGACCCGACACGGCCTTCACGGGCGTCGTCGACATCATCGGGCTCAACTACCAGGGCGAGGGCAAGGGGCACGGCGCGCCGACGTTTGAGAACTTTCGCGGCCGCTACCCGGACAAGATGATCTACAGCACCGAGAGCTCGTCCGTCATCAGCTCGCGCGGCACCTACCTCTTCCCCGTCACGAGCAGGAACATGGAGATCGTGAGCACCGCCGGCAACGGCACCGGCGCCGACCCGTCGGCCCTGACCGTCAGCTCGTACGACCTCTACGCCGTCGAGTGGGGCGCGACGCCCGACAAGGTCTTTGCCGCGCAGGACCGCTTCCCCTACGTCGGCGGCGAGTTCGTGTGGACGGGCTGGGACTACGTGGGCGAGCCGACGCCGTTCGACGGCCAGTCGCGCAGCAGCTACTTTGGCATCATCGACATGGCCGGCTTCCCCAAGGACCGCTTCTACATGTACCAGGCCCGCTGGAACCCGGACGTGCCCATGGCTCACATCCTCCCTCACTGGAACTGGCCCGACCGCGTCGGCCAGGTCACGCCCGTGCACGTCTACTCGTCGGCCAGCGAGGCCGAGCTTTTTGTCAACGGCGTGTCCCAGGGCCGCAAGACGCGCGCCCAGTACGAGTACCGCTTCCGCTGGGACGACGTGCGCTACGCCCCCGGCGAGGTGCACGTCGCCACGTACAAGGCCGGCGGCAGCCCCTGGGCCAACGCGACGGTGCGCACGACGGGGCCGGCGTCGCGCCTGCTGGCGTCGTCGTACCACGACAAGGCGAGCCTGGGCCCGGCCGACGACGACCTGGCCTTCATCTCGGTCGCCGTCGCCGACGCCGAGGGCGATGTGGTGCACACGGCCGAGCCGACGCTACACTTCTCCGTGAGCGGGCCGGGAGAGCTCGTCACGACCGACAATGGCGACCAGGCCGACTTTAGCTCCTTCCGGTCGCCGACGCGCAAGGCCTTCCGCGGCCTGGCGCTTGCCATCGTGCGCGCCAAGCCCGGCGCCGCGGGTGAGGGCCCCATCGTCTTGACCGTCGAGGCCGACGGGCTCGAGAAGGCCGAGTTTAAGTTGGCCAAGGTGGCCAAGGCTTGAGTTTCTGTGGGGGAGAGAGGGAGGTGGACGACTTGACGATATAGGAATGACCCCTATGTGTGGTTTTCTTTGTATGGATGGGTTTGCGAAAATGTATTAGCATCATCTAATCTTACCGAGGTCTGGCACAAAATAAAACAAAAGTGAAAGCACCAGCCAAAATGTCTTCACACGAAAAGCCTAGACAAGACATGGACACCAGTTGCAATCAACGCCAAGACAGAACTATACTCGTACGAAAGCCCACAAGATGAAGCTGTCGTCCACCCTACAGTTTTTGGCATCCAGCTGCGCCGTCATCGGATCCCAAGCAGCACCCACCTTAATTTTTACTTTGAGGAAAGACCTTTAGCAATGCTCGAACAAATCCATAATGTCACTTCACACCGCCATTGGCAAAGGGCTTTTGATGAACTGTTGGTGATTCAACCAAGTCACAAGACACGGTCGGGCTACCCCGGATTTGGACCTGTAGGCGCCCCTTGAGCTACCCCTGCACCCCCACGGACGGCTGTGCAGACAGTGCGGGGTGAGCACAGCTCAGCTCAGCTCAATGAAACACAAATGCCGAGGCAAGCCGGCGACCTCGGGGGAAGCCAAAGCTTAACTTAAAGCTAGAGCTAAGGAGGCCAATTCTTCTCCTCGGCCATCTCACCCGCCATCCTTACCTCGAACCAACAACCCCCCTCCCAACGAAAACGCAAACAAACCATGCCCATCTCGTCGCCCTACTCCCCCCTCGACGTGCCCGACGTCGACCTCTGGACGCTCCTCTTCGAGCGCGAGTCCAAGCCCTTCCTCGACAGCAAGGTCCTCTTCACCGACGGCCGGACGGGTCACACGCTCGACTACGGGCGCCTGCGCAGCGCCGCCCTCGACTTTGGCCACGGGCTCAAGGCGCTCTGGGGCTGGCGGCGCGGCGACGTGCTGGCCTTTTACACCCCCAACAGCGTCGACACCCCGATCCTCACGGCCGGCCTGCTGTGGGCCGGCGGCGTCGCCTCGCCCGCCAACCCGCTCTACACGGCCGACGAGCTCGCCTTCCAGCTGCGCGACTCGGGCGCAAAGGCCCTCGTGACCCAGCGGCCCTTCCTCAACGTCGCCGCGCGGGCTGCGGCCGCGGCTGGGATACCCCATGACCGCATCATCCTGATCGGTGAGCAGCAGCAAGCCGAGTCGGAGTCGGAGTCGGACTCGTCGTCGCCGCGGCAGCAGCAGCACCACCGGTACAAGCACTTTAGCAGCATCAGGGCCACATTCTACTGCAGCCGGTACGCGCAGACGCTCGTCGAGCCGGCCAAGGACCTTGCCTTTTTGGTCTACAGCTCCGGGACCACGGGCCTGCCCAAGGGCGTCTGCCTGACGCACCGCAACATCGTCGCCAACATCCTGCAGGGCGTTAGGACCGACGGACAGCACCTGCTGCCTCATGGCGGCTTCGATGGCAAGGGCGACAGGTTACTGGGTCTCATCCCGTTTTTCCATGTTTATGTTAGTACTAGTAGACTTGGGTCTCGCATGCCACACCCACACCCACTTTATCTTGGTTTGCAAGCTCCGCTCTAACGCAACCAAACCAGGGACTCACATCGTGCATCTTGATGACCATGTACGCCGGCTGGGAGGTTATCCTCATGGAGCGGTTCGACATGGAGAGGGCGTGCCAGCTGATCGAGAAGCACCGCGTCACTTATATCTACGTGCCTCCCCCCGTGGTGCTGGCCTTCGCCAAGAGCCCGATAGTGGACAAGTACGACCTCACGTCGCTCAAGATGCTGCACTCGGGCGCCGCGCCCCTGACCAGGGAGCTGACCGAGGCGCTCTGGGACCGGCTGAAGCTGCCCGTTAAGCAAGGGTACGGCCTGTCCGAGACGTCGCCCGTCGTGTCCATTCAGATGCCCGAGGACTGGGCCCGCTTCATGGGCTCCATCGGCAAGCTGGTGCCCGGCATGGAGGCGCGCCTCGTCTCGCCCGACGACGGGGCCGAGATCGTGCCCGGGTCGTCGCCGGGCAGCGAGGACAAGCCCGGCGAGCTCTGGGTTCGGGGCCCCAACGTGTTCGCCGGCTACCTCAACCGGCCCGAGCTGACGCGCGAGGCAATCACCGAGGACGGCTTCTTCAAGACGGGCGACATCGTGACGTGCGACCGCCACGGCAACCTGTACTGCGTCGACCGCCTCAAGGAGCTCATCAAGTACAAAGGGTTCCAGGTCGCCCCGGCCGAGCTAGAGGGCCTGCTGCTCGGCCACGCCGACGTGCTCGACTGCGGCGTCGTCGGCGTCCAGGACCATGCGGCCGCGACCGAGGTGCCGCGCGCCTACGTCGTGCTCAAGCAGCCCTGCGCTGCGGCCGCCGGGGAGGCCGAGGCCAGGGCCAGGGACATTGCCGACTGGATCGCGACAAAGGTGGCGCCGCACAAGAGGCTGCGCGGCGGCGTCGTCTTTGTGCCCGAGATCCCAAAGTCGCCCAGCGGCAAGATCCTGCGCCGGGTCCTGCGCGACATGGTCAAGCAGGAGGAGCGCAAGGACGGGGCGAAGCTGTAGTTGATGGTGCATATTTGGCGTGAAAAATCATCTCGTGTGGCATGTTTGTTTTGGCATTTTGGACTGCATAGCAAATAGAGTCAGTAGTACCTCCATGATGATGGTTGTTACTCTAAAATAAAGAAAAGCGTAAACGCCCATCTCCCAAAAAAAAAAAAACAGTATTCGTAAACACGTACAATACAATACATGCCTGGGCCGCGTGGCCTGATCAGCCCAGCCTCTCGGTCTCCTCGAGGAGCTTCTCTATGCTGAAGCGCTCGTCGCCCGTGCTGAACCACTCGAGGAGCTTCCTCCTCTCGGCCGCCCTCTCGTCGGTCCCTGCGGCCGCCACGTCCCGGCCGCCGCCACCACCGCCGCCGCCGCCGTAGAAGCGCTGCAGACACATGAGCAGCCACTGCGCGTCGGCGACCTTGACGCCGCGGCGGCCGTCAACGACACCCCTCATCAACACCACCCCGCCGCCGTCACCGCCGTCACCGCCAGCCGCCAGGTCCGTGTAGTGGGTGGCCGTGGTGTGGGGCTGGGCGAACTCGCCGCGGGCCTTGTACTCGGCCAGCTGGGTGAAGAGCACGGTGGCGGTGCGCGTGGCGGCGTCAAAGGTCCACTGCAGAAAGTGCACCTCGGCGCCCGCGTCCGGGTGCGGCACGGGCAGCACGAACTGCGGCCGCAGCCGCGCCAGCGCCTCCATGCCCGCGTACGTCGCCGCGGGCACCACAGCGCAGATGCTGTCGGCGACGCCGGCGTGCTGTCGCCGCCAGAGGGACGTTAGCTCCGCCACGGGGAGGGCGCGCGCCTTGGGGAGGTCCAGGATCTCGGACAGCGGCGTGATCTGGCCGGCGCCGGCGCTGCTCGACTGGGGGCCGCCCGGGGATGAGGGGTTGTTGCTGTTGTCGTTTTTAGGGGTGGTGGTGGTGGCGGTAGTGGAAGCCGGGGCAGCCTCAGGCACTGCCGCCGCATCGCTTGGCCCCAGCCCGTCGGCGGCGAGCAGCTCATCCAGCCCCGGCACGGAGACGGCGTCGGCTTTGCGCTGCTCCCGGATGCGGTCGGCGTAGGCGGCCTTGAGCTGGTCGATGCCGGCGAGCCCCTCGTCGCGCGCCTTGCGGTCGAGCTTGTCGCGGTACTTGTCGAGCACGCGGCGCGGCGCCTGCGTGGTGGCCACGAAGCGCACGTCGTGCACCTGCGCCCACCGCCGCTGGAGCGGCGACGACGCCCACGCCCACGACGACGACGACAATGTAGTCGACAGGGATGGACGCCGGGCGGCCCCGCGCGCGTGGCGGCCGACGCCGCGGAGCAGCGCCGCCCTGCCTGCTGCTGCTGCTGCTGCGGCTGGGAGCGGCATTATGTTTTGGGGGTTGGGTTATGTGGGTGGCAGCTCTGGCTTCGGCTTCGGCGAGTGTTGCGGTGCGCCGAGTTCGCCATTCGGAGGGAGCTCCGCCCAGCACCCCTGACTGCCAGGCGGAATTTTTTTTTCCTTTCTAGAAGCATATGGATCCTAGGCGGGCTTCAGGGCAGGGGAAAGGGCTCCAGGTGCCACTGATAAGCGCCATCACGTGCCGTCGCGTTTGGTGCTGAATGTACCTCCAGCCTTGGGACTCACTCACTGACAAGATTTGAACGCAGAAGCGGATGCAATTGGTATTATTCAGCAACTAGGCATGATATGTAGTAGACACCGAGGTGAGTTCGGCCGGGCGGCACCATGGCTGCATCGAGTGCAGCGCCAGTTTGCCTCCTGCCGTGCTGACGTGGGAAAAAGATTGGTGGCGTGTTTTACGTGATGGAAACATCACAACCTGTCTCGGGACCAAGATATCTCAGACCAACATCTCGGAGATAACCTGCTCGCCGAGGGCTCTGTCTCGAGGCTCTGGACAGCACTCACTCAACCACCAAAATCAAATAAATGGATCACCAGGCGCCCCCTGTCAGCCCGAGAAACTGACGTCGATCGTCCGGGGGTAGACGGGATATGATGATTCTCCGCTATCGGAGGGGCCGCTGTTTCGGTGACATGCGCCAATTGCATGTGCTTCACGATACTTGAACATCTGAGAATGCTGTAGGGAAGATCAGTGGCACAGCGGGAGATTGCCAATAAGTCCCGCTTGCCTTTTCCAAGTCGATTTAATGGCAAGATATCAATCTAGGCACAAGCCGGACGCGATACGTAAAACACCCACCGAAGTGGACTCCATGACGGGGCTCCAACCCAACGCCCTAACGCCCGGGATTTGGAAGTCTCCCTGTGGACTGTGGTGGACCTGCCGCCGAAGCTCGCCCGCCAATCATCGTGGGGTCAATTCAAAGTGGTCCAAAGACGCTGAAGCTCGGAATTCTCTCAGATTCTTTCCGTAATGCCGACCCGTTTTCCTTCCTCGCCTCTGTCTCCCTTTTATGTCATAGCCGCGGGTTGTTTTATCTGGACTCTGCTTGCTTTTCTTTCCCATTCTTACCCTGCTCCCTTTCCAACAACCGACCTTTTGACATCCAAAGGTGAATAGTCCGAGGCGGAAGCCGAGCTATCAGAGCCATCAGAACCACGCCCGGCTGGCGAGATAAGAAGCCACTGATACCCCACCGCTCGGCGCCGGCTGACACGAAGCTTCTCCCTGCCCAGAATGGCGTCCACCTCCCGTCAGTTCCTCCGCGCCGCTAGCCGGACCACGGCTCGCGGCACCTTCTCCACCAGCGCCCGCACCGCCGGTCGCCGCTTCTACTCGTCCGAGGCCCCCAAGGCAGCCCCCAAGGCAGAGCTCCCCAAGCCCGCGAGCGGCGGCTCCTCCTGGATCTGGCTGGCCGGTGGCGCCGCTGCCGTCGGCGGCCTGGGACTCTGGTACACCCAGCAGGGCCCCGCCAAGCTCACCAAGCCCGAGTTCAAGGACTATCAGGCCGTCTATGACGAGGTCGCCAAGCTCCTGCAGGAGAAGGACGACTACGAGGACGGCAGCTACGGCCCCATCCTCGTCCGCCTCGCCTGGCACGCCAGCGGCACCTACGACAAGGAGACCGGCACCGGCGGCAGCAACGGCGCCACCATGCGCTTCGCCCCCGAGGGCGACCACGGCGCCAACGCTGGCCTGAAGACGGCCCGGGACTTCCTCGAGCCCGTCAAAGGTATGTTGTTTTGCCCGCTCACATCCACAGAAGGGGAAGAAACAAAGAAGAAAAAAAGGCGCTGGCACATTGCTGACGCCCCCACCCAACAGCCAAGTTCCCCTGGATCACGCACTCGGACCTGTGGATCCTGTCGGGCGTCTGCGCCATCCAGGAGATGCTGGGCCCCAAGGTCCCCTTCCGGCCCGGCCGCTCCGACAAGGACATGGCCGCCTGCACCCCCGACGGCCGCCTCCCCGACGCTACCCAGGGCGCCGACCACCTGAGGAACATCTTCTACCGCATGGGCTTCAACGACCAGGAGATTGTGGCCCTGTCGGGCGGCCACGCCCTCGGCCGCTGCCACACGGACCGCAGCGGCTTCGACGGCCCGTGGACCTTCTCGCCCACCGTCCTGACCAACGACTTCTACAAGCTGCTGCTCGAGGAGAAGTGGGACTGGAAGAAGTGGAACGGCCCCAAGCAGGTAAGAGAAAGGAGGCCTTGTGAGAGGACAGAAGAGAGAAAACAAAACGAGATTGCTGACACTTGCCACCTTTTTTCCCCCATCTTGCAGTACGTCGACAAGAAGACCAAGACCCTGATGATGCTGCCCACCGACATGGTGCTCATCCAGGACAAGCAGTTCCTGCCGTGGGTCAAGAAGTACGCTGCCGACAGCGACCTGTTCTTCAAGGACTTCTCCAACGTCGTCCTCAAGCTCTTTGAGCTTGGCGTGCCTTTTGCCCAGAGCAGCGAGAACCAGAGGTGGGTCTTCAAGTCGAGCAGCGAGTAAATCGGTTACTGCGCGCGTGACGTGATTTGAGAGAGTCTATGATTGTTGTAAATTAGGTGCACGTAACATCGTAGAGCTAGAGTTGGCGCATGAGCGGAGGTTGCGTCTAGTCGGATACCCCGGATATGATTGAAGAGTTGGGATAGAGGGAGTCCTTTTTTTTTCGTGCCGGTTGGGCTGGTGATAGAAGGCACCAAAGACGCATTGCGAGAATACAGTCGAAAGCGTAAACAATCTCGAGGAAGGTGTGAACAGGGTTTAGATGAGGGGAAACCATGGGTTAAATACTCCTCCGCACCGTCCAGGACGTCATTTCCTGGTTGGCTTTTCGGGCCAGGCCTCGACGGCGGGCTTGTTCCCCCGCATTTCAAAGGCCCCCCTGCTTCCCCGACCACGTCTGGCCAATCCCCCGCTTGGTCTTGGGTTGGTTGGTCATGATGAAACGACAGCTGCTGGGGTTACTTGGTGCATTGCGAGCCAGATGTAATTGTGTGAACACCATGTCCTTTCTATCTTCACCTTGGCGAAGAAGTGACACATGTGGATGAAGGGAGGGGTACATCAATTCAGTGAGGCCAAATGCCCTTGCTACAATGCTTGCCAGGTACCTTGACTGTATGTATGTGTAGGCAGATAGATCATGCACATGTAGTGATGGACAGACGCAACGCCCAACCCTCTCCCCTCACTCGGCCGCCAGCCCCGCCTCGACCTCGTCCCGCCACCAGCGCCCAAAGTCGACGACGGCGCGGCCCTTGCGCGCGTCCTCGGCGCAAAAGACGACGGCGTGGCTGCGCAGGACGTCGTCGAGCGTGCAGCCGACGTGCTCGCGCTGGGCCCGGTCCGCGTCCCAGCCGTGGTTCTTGACCCGGTCGACGGCGAGGACAAACTGGCGCGCCAGGCCGTTGTCGCCGCCGCCGTGCCCGAGGCTCTCGAGCCGGGGCCGGTGCACCGTGGTGCGGCCGGTGCGGAAGTCCTCGACCGTGATGGTGGCCGAGTCGGCGTACACCTCGCCGTGCTCGCCGTAGACGTGCGTGTAGCGCTGGCAGATCTTCTTGGTCTGCGCCACCATGTGCAGCGTCGCCGTCTTGGCGCCGCGGCCCGGGCTGCTGCCGCTGTCGCCGCCGCCGCCGGGGGAAGCCACCTGCTCCTCGTCCCACGTTATTGTCACCACCTGCGAGTCGCACACGTCGTTGTCACTTTCCCAGACGCAGCGGCCGAACCAGTTCCGCGCCCGCACCGCGCTGTCGGGCGCGTTGGATCCGTAGTCCTTGGCCAGCTCGGCCAGCAGCGCCGCTCTGGCCTGTGCCTTATCGCCGTAGCTCTCAATGTCCGGGAGGACGACGTCGACCGGCCAGTCCCTGTTGCTCGAGTCGAGACTCCTCATCGCGTCCCCGTCGTTGCCGTCGACGTAGATGCGCTTGGCCGAGAACTGGCACGAGCTCTCGATCGGGCACGAGAGGCAGTTGGTGGCGGCCCCGGCCTCGCGCGGCTTCCGGCTCTGCTTGAAGAGCTTCAGCGACCCGGAGCTCGAGACTGTGGAGGGGATGTGCGGTCCGGGCTGCCCCTCGGTAGTAGGAGCCGCGCACGTGGGCGGCGAGCACAGCAGCCACAGCAGCAGGTCGACGTCGTGGCAGCACTTTGCCAGCAGGCTCGGGGCCGACGTGTCCTCGCGGCGCCAGTTGCCGCGCACGTAGCTGTGCGCAAAGTGCCAGTGGCCAATGGGCTCCGTGTGCACGACGTCGAGGATCTCGCCCACGACGCGGTCCTGCAGGAGCAGCCTGCGCAGCTCCATGTTGTGCGGGCTGTAGCGCATGACGTGGCCGATGGAGAAGACGAGGCCGCGCTGCTGCTGCTGCCCGGCACCGGGCGCGTTGCTCCGCCGCAGGGCGCGGTACATCTCGACGCAGTCGGCCAGCCGCGTCGCCAGCGGCTTCTCGCACATGATGTGGATGCCACCCAGCTCCGCGAGCCCGAGCACGACCTCGCGGTGCATCTCGTCCTGGACGCAGACGAAGGCGGCATCGATGCCCTCAGGCACGTGGCCATTGCCGCTCGCCGCGGCTGCCCGCTCCCGGCGAGCGCGCTCCCAGGCCACAAACTCGCGCCAGTTGGCGAACGAGGAGCCCTTGGGCGGCGGGTAGGCGCCGTCGGGCCCGCCCCAGCCGGCGATGCACTCCTTGCCGACCAGGCCGCGGCGGTAGGGGTCCGGCTCGGCGACGGCGACCACGACGCCGTTGGTCACGCTCGTGACGGAGCGGGCGTAGGTTTGGCCCCTCGAGCCAGCGCCGACGATGAGGATGCGGGGCGGGGATGCCGACTTAGGCGGAGGTGGGGGAGTGAAGAAGCCCTCGCTTGCGTCCCCCATCGTGTTTGGCTGCTCGGTAGGATCGGCAAGCAACGTCTTGGCTTGGTTACACAGCTCCGAGGAGGCGTCGGCGTCTTTGTGGGTGTCGATGGGTGTCGATGGCTGGCTTACAAAAGGGCCAGGCGATAAAAGCGAGCATTGTCCAGCAAGCCCTGGAGTGGCTGCAAGCCCGTTTTTGAAGCCCAACAGCCCTAAAGCTTAGGTCATTTGAGACCTTCGAGAACTAGGAATCCATTGATGCCTTGATTGGTGCAAGCTCGGACGACGAACCAAGACTTTATGCACGACATGAGCGTGCTGCCCCTGTCACGGCAAAGCCGATCATCTCGTTCTAAACAAAACCTCTGAAGATCGCCCAGCAGGTCCCCAAAAAGCCCCAGAAGCTCTCCATAAGCTCCCACAATCCCCCACCCTTAGCCCCACGCTCCACTGTCAAAGCCTGAAAATTCAACGCAATACGTGCTGAGTCGATGTGGGATTTTGGGCCACTGCGCTTTCGCAAAATGCACTTTGCTACGACAACTCGCCAAACCTTCCTTACTTGGTATAAACGCGCTTGAGAACCCCTACAAACCCGGGCTTTTCCTTGCCGTCCTTTCCCAAGACTAGCTCTACAGAATCCAAAGCACCGTCAAATCCGGACCATCACAGAGTGGTTCTCCAATATCCTCCGCCCGAGATTCGCAAATATGGCTGCGCTAAAAGACCCCCTCATCTGGATCGACTGCGAGGTGAGTCGGGTGACCTCCTCTCGGAAACCCTGTGTCACACCGGGCCTCGGCATCCGGCGCTGACGGCCAGGAGAAGGCAAAAACTAAAACGACTGGGTGCAGATGACCGGGCTGGATCCCGAGTCAGAGGAGATCATCGAAATCTTCTGCCTGATCACCGACGGCGAGCTCAACCTTGCCGACGAGGAGGGCTGGGGTGCCGCTGTCCACCTCCCCAAGGAGCGGATGGACCAGATGGGCGAGTGGTGCACGCGCACGCACGCCCAGACGGGGCTGACGGAGCGGGTGCTCGCCTCCGAGGTGACGCCCGAGAGGGCCGCCGAGGACCTGCTGGCCTACATCCGCAAGCACGTGCCCGAGCCCGGCGTCGCCCAGCTGGCCGGCAACAGCGTGCACCACGACCGCGCCTTCCTGCGCAGGGGCCCCTACGCGCGCGTCGTCGAGCACCTGCACTACCGCATCCTCGACGTCAGCTCCATCAAGGAGGCCGCCCGCCGCTGGAGCCCGAGGATCGCGAAGAAGGCGCCCAGCAAGAAGTCGGTGCACACCGCCCGCGCTGACATCCTGGAGAGCATCCGGGAGGCGAAGCACTACCGGGACTTGTTGTTCATCCCGGCGGCGGCGGCCATGGCCAATAATAAAAAGACCAAGTCCTGAATAAAAGAGGAGGGTGGGTACACAGTATTCTAAAGGGTGGTCGAGGTGGCGGTTGCTCTGGACTCCGCTTTTGGCTAGACCGCCAGAAGTACAACCTGGTGTCCTTCTCGTCTACCCTTGGTTTTATTTTTATTCCCTCAGCAACTCTCGTCTGCAACCCCCGCTGCAGTGCAGGAGCCGGCTTGTCGTACCGAGTTCTTCTGGAGTAGGCTTTCGACCCGGTTTTCTACGAACCGCAAAGCCCAACTGTTTTGGGTGGCGAGAGGCACTATCGCCTTTGACACCTCACGGTACTTGAGTAGGTACCTAGGTAGGTAGGCAGGCACTTATCTCAAAAAAGCCGGACGTAAGGATTGGGCAGAATCTCCGGGCAGCGCGGGATTTGTTTACGCGCAGGATCAAAGTCAGTTGCAAGCGCAGGCGGCCCCATGGTGTCGTTGGGCGTCACTTGGAGGTCCATTGCCGAAGCTCTCACCACCAACCAGACCCCTAAAATTGATGTGATGGTTGGATGGCTGGCTGGACCTCCTTGCAAGTCTCCAGCTCAGGTTGTACCCGCTTGCATTGCCCACCCGCTTGGGTTGTCAAGCCCCCGCGGCAGCTTCGACCCCACCTCAACCAAAAGCAAGCATGAGGTCACCGTCTGCCTACCCCACCTACGCGTTGTTGCCGTCAGTCCTCGAGAGCTCCAGGCTCGGGGGTGATGCTTGTTGGTGATATATAAAGGCCGGCGCTTGTCCTCCTTCGCCACCCTGGGCCCTTTTTGCTTCCTGCCGAGCCAGGTTTCACGCCGTACACCACCCGCTCTATCCTTTGTCCTCCCCTAACTCTTCCAAGATGGGCGTCAAGACCGTCGAATTCCAGTCATTCACTGACCAGAAGCCCGGAACGTAAGTGGGTTCATCTTCCAAAGCGAGCCCCTCGCTATGTAGTCGAGCTTGGGCTGTTTCTTCTGGTGTCCCACCAAAAAGGCCCCTACCTAGCTGACCGCCAGTTTTCACTCGGTGCTGCAGATCGGGTCTTCGCAAAAAGGTCACGGTGTTCCAGAAGCCTCACTATAGTGAATCCTTCGTCACCAGTATCCTCCTCTCCATCCCCGAGGGCGCCGAAGGTACCCATCCCCTGTGCATCCCCTCCCACTCACCCCTGAGCGACCTGGCGTTGCCACTTGAGATAGGTGTGGCGAGGACTTGCAAGCAACTCACATGTCAGCCCGACAGGTGCTTTCCTGGTCATTGGCGGCGATGGTCGATTCTACAACCCCGAGGTGATCCAGCTGATCGCCAAGATCGGTGCCGCCTACGGCGTCAAGAAGCTTTTGATCGGCCAGAACGGCATCCTCTCCACACCCGCGGCCAGCCATGTTATCCGCAAGCGCAAGGCTACGGGCGGCATCCTATTGACGGCCAGCCACAACCCCGGAGGCCCCAAGAACGACTTTGGCATCAAGTACAATCTGGCAAACGGTGGCCCGGCTCCCGAGTCGGTCACAAACAAGATCTACGAGACCTCCAAGACGCTTGCCTCATACAAGATCAACGATTCCATCCCCGACATCGACCTCGGCGCCATTGGTACCAAGACTTATGACGGGCTCGAGGTGGAGATCGTTGACAGCACCGCCGACTATGTCGAGATGCTCAAGGATATCTTCGACTTCGACCTGATCAAGAAGTTCTTCGCTACCAATAAGGACTTCAAGGTCCTCTTTGACGGCCTTTCGGGTGTCACCGGCCCATACGGCACTGCAATCTTCCAGCAGGAGCTCGGCCTCGGGCCTGAGAGCACGCAAAACTGCGAGCCCAGCCCTGATTTCAACGGCGGCCACCCGGACCCGAACTTGGTGTACGCCAAGTCGCTCGTGGACGTCGTAGAGGAGCGCAAGATCCCGTTCGGCGCCGCCTCGGACGGTGACGGCGACCGGAACATGATTTACGGCGCCGGGGCTTTCGTGTCGCCGGGAGACAGTCTGGCCATTATCGCGCACCACGCCAAGCTGATCCCGTACTTCAAGAAGCAGGGCGTGTACGGGCTGGCGCGAAGCATGCCGACCAGCGGAGCTGTGGACCTCGTGGCAAAGAAGCAGGGCCTGGACTGCTACGAGGTGCCGACGGGCTGGAAGTTCTTCTGTGCCCTCTTCGACGCGGACAAGCTGTCAATCTGCGGCGAGGAGTCGTTCGGCACTGGCAGCAACCACATCCGTGAGAAGGACGGGCTCTGGGCCATTGTGGCCTGGCTCAACATCATCGCCGGGCTCGGTGTAGAGCACCCTGAAGTGGCCCCCAGCATCAAGCAGATCCAGCTTGACTTCTGGAAGGAGTACGGCCGAACCTTCTTCACGCGATACGACTACGAGGACGTCGACTCGGACGGTGCCAACAAGGTCGTTGGAACGCTCAAGGACCTGATCTCGGACCCTAACTTTATCGGCAGCAAAATCGGGGGTGCGTTCAGTCCGACCCTCTTGACCTTTATACCCCTTGCCTCCATCTTCGGTTAGAAGGCGGCTGTCAATAATGATGATAACTAACAAATACGTGATTGTGATCAGACCGCACGGTGACCGAGGCCGGTGACTTCTCGTACACGGACCTCGACGGGTCGATATCGAGCAACCAGGGCCTCTACGTATGCTTTTCGTCGGGTAGCCGCATCGTCGTCCGCCTCTCAGGGACCGGTTCGAGCGGCGCCACGATCCGGCTGTACGTTGAGCAACACACCAGCGACGCGTCGACGTACGAGCAGGACGCACAGGACTTCCTCAAGCCCGAGATCAAGATGGCGACGGAGCTTCTCAAGTTCAAGCAGTATGTCGGCCGCGACGAGCCGGATGTGAAGACCTGAGGTTGCGTGGCTGGTTTCCTGGGGCGGGCAGGCCGAGCCCAAACAGATGGCGAGAGCAGAACCCGACTTGAGGTTTCCTTGTGATGCATCGAGAATTTAATAAAAGATAAAAGGCGCACATGATATCATGAAACCACGGACCATGTATGCAGGTCGCCGCCAATCGGAAATTTCGACTGCGGCTAATGCGCCGCCTAATGTGGAGCTTCAGGTTAGGGCGAGCTGCAGGAGGTGAGCCAAGCTGAGATGATGATATGAGGTGCTTGGACGCTAGAATGTCCAGACTCTGGTCTCCGGGAGCTGAGTAGTAGCGGAGCAGCAGTAGCACGTAGTTTAGGGGTCGTTGAGCAGCCATCCGGGCAACGGTTAGGTGTGGCTTCTCGGTGGGAAATCATTGGCGTCATCAGGGACCTCCCGCCAGCGCGGACGTGGCGTCAACGGATATGCAGACGGCAAACGCAAAATCGGGAAGGATCATGATAGCGCACGTCGCCCCAGTTCCCCTCAAGGATTCACTAAAGTACCAAAGTGCATATATAGTCTAGACACCGTAGGCATCAGTCCCGATCGGCGGACGCAGTGTTGAGTCCCGGACAGGGCTTTGGTCACCTCGATAGCTGTGCCCAAAAGGAGCACAAGTACTTGTCACCAGCGATCGAGAGATTGGCGGTGGTGTCGCTGATGTTGTTGTGTCCCGCCAGCTGCAGGCATCGCCAACCTATCCTGCCGCTTCATTGGCAAATCCGTCCAACAAGGCTAGCCAAGATACCGCCAGACTAGGAATACGGCCCTGGCCCTGTGCGCCGTATTCAGTCATTTACCCTGACCAAAATGGTTGATTGGCAAGGGGTGGGGGAGAACCTCGGCCCTCCTGAATCGCGTCCATTGGCGCAGGAAAGTGGGGCGCTGTGCCGTGCTGGGGGGTCCTTGAATCCAGGTGGGCAGCTTCAATGGTCCGGCATCGAGTCCCAGGCCAAGCCGTTTCCCCGTCCCCGGAACCAGCGGATTTGGGACCAGAAGAATTTGGGACCAGACCACCCAACAGAATTGGCCCGACAGGAGACCTCGCCTCTGCCGCGGTCCACCCAGGAATGCACGGGACCAGGATCTGTCTCCTTGTCTGGAGAGCCGACCGAGACTAGCGGGTTCTCCTCGAGTCCCTCTTTTTCTGCTGGCGCTCCTCTCGACCTTGACGGCATGCTTCGTCGAGCTGTTGGCCTGGCTTGGAGCACCATTGGCACTGTTTTGCGCCAGGAACCCGCCCCAGGATTCCTCCGCCCAGTACTGTACCTGCCTCTGCTTGCTGCCGCCCTCTGTGCTTGCCGTAGCAAACCAACGCCAGCCAGCCCCTCCGATCCCGTCCTTGCCTCGCCTTATTCGCCCACGGCTGCCTCGCCTTGCGCGGCCACCCGAGATCGACGTCCAACGGCGCGCCAGGACGTCCTCCGAGGCACGGACGTAGATAGGCAGAGAAGAAAAAAAGCCCTGCCCACCAAGCTACCTTCATAGGTACCTACCTATCTAGTACATACTCACCGAGGTACATAACAACACCATCAACCAGGGCCGGGAGGGACCCAAGCCCGGCACAAGAACCACGCCCCAGAACCAATACTGCCTCGGCACCCTGGGCAGCCGAAGCTCGATGCCGGAAAAGTCTCTCACCGTGGCCACCTACGCGGCGGGGGCCTCCCTGGCCGCCATAACCCTGATATATGTCTTCGCCCCGACCTACCTGATCGATTCCGACGGCGGCCGGTCTGCGAGCTCGCACAAACGCGGCGTCGTGGGCCTCTCGAACCCGGCCAATGACTGCTTCATCAACAGCATCCTCCAGGCCCTCGCCGGGCTCGGCGACCTGCGCATCTACCTCATCCGCGAGACCCACCGCCGCAGCCTCGACGCCGCCTGGGTCTACGAGCAGCCCGTCCCGGCCGACGCGCTGCAGGACCGCGGCGACAACGCCCGCGACGATGGCGCGTCGGCCCGCATCAGGGGCCAGCCCGACTGGAAGGTCGTGGGCCTGCAGAGCGGCGCCGTGACCAAGGGGCTCAAGCGGATACTCGACCAGCTCAACGAGCGGCCCATCTACAAGAAGACCGCCTCGGCCCTGCCATTCGTCAAGGATCTCGAGTCCGCCTTCCGCCAGCGCATAAGTAGGCAGCAGCAAGACGCGCAAGAGTTCCTCCAGGTCGTCGCCGAGCGCCTGTGCGAAGAGTACCACGCCGGCCAGAGGGCAAGGAGATATGCGCGCACGTTGCCACCCCCCGGGGTGGCGGCAGCGGGGGGCAGTCCTGTTTTGAACGCGGATCTTGTGGACAAGAAGCTGCAGGGGATGGTCAAGGGTGAGGCTGGCGATGAGGACGACAACGAGGCGGAGGAGGCCCCCGAAAGTCAAGAGTCTATAGCCGGGTCAGGACTCACGGCCGCCGCCGCCCCCGATACCACCACGGTGGCTGAGGCGCGGGTGGCTGGTGCTGTGGCAGACGATGACGAGGAAGAGGAGGGCTTCCCGATGGAGGGCATGTTCGAGTCACAGATCGAGTGTTTAACCTGTGGCTTTAAGCCACGAGCCAAGGAGGACAGGTTCTGCACGCTTACGCTCAACGTGCCGCAAGTCTCGTCTACGACTCTGAACGCCTGCTTCGACGGCATGTTCAAGACCGAGTACATCGATGACTTCAAGTGCGAAAAGTGCCGCCTCCTCCATGTCGAGGCGGTGCTGGAGAGCGAGCTGGCGAGGACCCCGGAATCCAGGGCAGACGAGGCCGAGGCTAGGCGAAAGACCATTGAGGCCCTGCAGCACGCCATCGCCACGGACCCGGAACGGCCTCCCGAGTGGGTTGCACTGCCGGACGCTAAGCTCGCACCTAAGCGCCGCATCGCGCGACACATACAGATGACGAGCTTCCCCAAGATCCTGGCCGTGCACCTGTCGCGCTCCATCTATGAGAGGAGTCAGTCGTCAAAAAACTCGGCAAAGGTGGCATTCCCGGAGCGTCTGCCCCTGGGAGGGCTACTGAATCGGCGCAAGTACAAACTGCTGGGCGTGGTGGCCCACAAAGGCTCGCATCACAGTGGCCACTACGAGTCGTTCCGGCGTCAGAATGTCTATCCGCCCTTCTCGACGCCCAACAACTCGCTACGGCCATCGGACAAGGGGCCTTACGGCCGGTCGACGACCACATCTGCCGTCCCGAGCCCGGCCGCCACGCCCCGCGTCGGGGCCCTGAGGCAACGGCCGTCGGGCGAGGTGGGGGCCTCGTCGTCCACCGATAGCAGCCCGCTGACGTCGACCCCAGACCTACTCCTGGCCGGCGGCGCCACGACCCCAGCATCAAGCGCCTCGACTGCTGTGAACAACGCCTCTCCTTCCCCCGGAAGCAATGGCGCCAGCAGCTCCGACTCGGCCAAGGGCTCGCCCCGGTCGCGAAAGGACAAGGATGGGGACTCGTCCAGCCTGCGGTCTGTGGCACGGTCGACGCTTTCTAGGATAACGCCGTCGTCGCGCAGCGCCAGCAGGAGCGGAAGCCGAAGCGGTGGTGGTGGTGGCGGCAACAACAAGGCCGCCGCAACCACGTCCACATCCTTGGGCGACGGCTCCGCGCACCAGGTCGCTCACAATCCCATCAAGATGCCGAAGCGCAAGAAGAACCAGGACAATATGTGGTGGCGCCTCAGCGACGACAAGGTCAAGGAGGCCACCACCAAGGACGTCCTCGGCATGCAGCGCGAGGTGTACCTGTTATTCTACGAGATGGAGAAGGATGGTGCACCATAATGGGGTTTCCTTTCCACACCGCGAGACTGGGGGTGTCACGATCGTCGTGATCGAGACTGTCTCGGCCGTGCTATCCCCTGCGTACGCCGGCACCCGAGACCTTGGGCCCATCTACACGCCACATTTTCAACCCCTTCTTGAGCGATTAGTGATTTCTGTAGTCTGTGTTTTGAGGCATGTGGGCTGACACACCGCCCATAATTTGTGAGTTGACGTGAGAAAATAAAAGGGGAGAAAGCTAGCGGGTTAGAACTTCAAGGCTGAAAGGTTGAAACATAAAGCGTCGGCTTGTACATTTGTACCACCAAAAAATATGATATAGAGCGTAGACAAGTCGGAAGCATCAGCACAGCCGAGGGCCAGCGTCTGGCCGTCGCCAATGCAGTGGTCTAAACAAATATTTCTTCCCTACCTGTAACCCGGGTATCATTCCATGAAATTACCTATCTAGAGAAGTAAACGGCATGACGGCTTTTGAGCTATCGATTCTTCCCCTTTGGGCCATAATATGAAGTCCGGTGGTGCATGTCCGTCTCGGAGCCCGTCCTGTTTCTGGAAACCAGCACCACGTCCACCGACTCGGACCTGATGGCCCGATACTTCGGGTCTCTTCAGGGCATCTCCTGGGGGCCCTGATTCCTCGCTGGTGGAGGCACGGCCTGCGGGGCCATGTTCGGATTGTACGCCTTGTACTCTACAGGCGGCCGCTGCACCTGCGGCTGCGGCTGCGGCTGCTGACCGTAGGCTGGATCGTAGGCCGAGTCGTAGGCCGAGTACGTTGTTGCCGTCGCCGTCGCCGCCGCCCCCTGGCCGCCGTAGGGCATCTGGGGCGACGAGTGAGGCGCCATCGGCGAGGCGCCGTACTGGGTCATGGATGGGTACGCGTACATGCTGTCCCCGGCGACGCTGCTGTAGGGGCTGACGCCGCCGGCCTGTTGGTGCTGCTGCGGCGGTACCATGTAGCCCGTAGACGTGGGATACCCTTGCGGAGCGACACCACCGCCACCACCGCCGCCGCCGCCGCCGCCGCCAAAGGGGACCGGCGACGGGTATGGCGACAGGTGTGAGGAGGCAGAGGGGGCCTGGTAGGGGCTGGTGGGCGGGAAGGTCTGGGGCGCCATGAACGGCTGCGACGGCGGCGGCGCGTTGGGCGGCAGGGACGAGTGCTGCGCCGACGCGCCCTTTCTCCTGGCCCTGCGGACCAGGAAGAAGATGGCCAAGCCCGCGAGGGCCAGCACGGCCACGCCGCCGATCACGCCGCCGACGATGGCTCCGGTCGCCGTCTGGGTTTCCTGCTGCTGCTCGCTTTGCCCGCCTGGCGGAGGGGTGCCGGTTGCGGCGTCCGAGTCGCGGTCGGTGCGCGAGCGTGTTGTCGATGACGAGCGGGACGGCGAGGCTGTCCTTGTTGACGACGTCGTGCTTCTCGAGGTCGAAGTCTGAGTGTAGTCCACCGGGAAGTCCAGCAGGGTGCCAGTCCCGGCAGCAGTAGCGCATACGAAAAGTGTTAGGGTGCTGCGGGTCGCCGTCGATCGCGAGAACAAGTAAACGGAACAAAACCCGCGAGAGGAGACCGAACTGAGGATAAGACAAGATGTTAGGCAAAGTACCTCTTGTAGGCACAAAGATGGGGTTGAAAGTGCATACCAGCAGAGAACCCCAGAAGTCGCAGTACGACTACAGCTGCTCGCTAGAGAGGATGGGACACAAGACGTCAGGACGGAAGTGCATGAACTAGAAGTACAGCATCCCATATATCTCCCGCTGCTAGAGCACGTAGCGTCCGAATTAATGCAGGTGAGTGCCCCAGCAGCTAGATTTGACAGGTAGGAGAAATAAATGGATATTAGCGCAACGGGACCAGGTGGCAGCCAGGCTCGGGTAGTCAGAGCACATTTACCACGAGAAGAAGATATATAGCCGCAGGTGTTTGGCGACATGGTAAAGCCTGTAACCGGCTTGGTCTGACGCTTTGCCAGCTCCATGAAGCCAAACTCAGGGTGTGATGGTGGTGGCGTCGGCTTTGGGGTGAATCCCCTGGCCGGGTCCGGAATGGAGCGGCCGGTTTCGAGCGGGAGCCATGCCTCTGGGAACACCCTGAGTGCCAGCCCCGGCACGTCGTCCTCGTGTTGTGGTGGCATGGCCGCGGCTGCAGCGAGGCTGGGGGCTACCATGACCCCCACCATAGCGGCAGCCATGGCCGGTCGCAATGATATCTTTCGGGAGCGCATAGCCAGGTAGGTACCAGGTATCTGGTATGTAGGTGATAGATGGGTGATAAGTTGGCAGGATATTGTGGAAGAACTGTGCCTGTCTGCTTAGACCATCGCGGTTGGGTGAGGAGGGAAACAAACCAACGTGAAACCACGCTGAGAAGGGCACAGGAGGATGAAGGTGAGGGTAAGGAAGAGAGTGGGTGAGGAAAAGCCGCGGCCAGTAAGGCTGGAAGGTGGCTAAAAATGGCATGCACGACGATCCTTCTCTGGCCCTCAGCCCTCCTTTTGCGGTCCCGTCATGCTGTTCGGCACCGTCTTCGCTATGCCAAGCAGCCAGTAACGCCCGATACCGCTTAGATTAGGAGTCAACACCTTGTTGCTCAACGTCAAACTTCGAGAAGCGGAGAGGGAGGATTCGGAATCCAGGCTCATGGGACCCCACCATTTTGGACCCCTGGAAGCTCCATGACCCTCAAGATTGACGTCCTGGATGGGTGGCCGCGATTAGCGGATTGGCTGCCCCAGTGGTAACACCGACACTGCCCCGTTTGGCTTCTGCTGTGATTGTGCCCAGAATCTGGACAGGAGCGAGGTGGGTGGGCGGCTTCCACTGCTCGCCGTGCTCAATGTCGTGTATCTTCTTCACGTCAACCTCCCCTATTTCCAACGAAGTGGCACGAGAGCCCCGGAAGGGTTGCAGCGGCGGGTGTAGCCATTAGGGGCAGGATATAAATACCGGGCAGATTTCCATGGGTGTTACTGCGCGACAGTGAGCACACAATGGACGTCTCACGTTGCATCGTCAGCTCAAGAGCAACCCCACTCAGCTTTTTGAGGGTGACATCTGTGTGTGGGTCGGTGGCGCAGCGCGGCACTCTGGGTTCGGGTGCCAGCAGCGAGGGAAGCGCGATGGGTGGAAAAGGGCGCGTGTAGCCGTGCCTTTGGGTGAACTCCACGATCCATCAAGGACCAATTGAAGCCTCGTTGTTGGATCCAAGGCTTGGGGCGCGTCAAACCCGGCTGGAAAATGGGTTTGCCGCTGCTGCTGCCTGGTGGTAGACCTGTCCAGTTTTAGGACCGACGGGAGCGAGGCTTGGGTTGCGGTTGCCTGTTGGCCTCAGAATCCCGAGCTCCAAGTTCGCACCAGCCTGCGCTTTAAAAACAAACCCAGTCCCCTTCATCTTCATCTTCATCTTCCTGTCCTCTCTCTCTTTTCCGCCGATCTCCTTGCCGTCTCTGTTTCGCTTTGGTGCAACAGAAGACACACGCCATTGCGTCGCACGCGAACACGACATTGAAGCCTTCCAATACCACCTGGGCTTGCTTCGCCTCATCATTTCTCTTTCCGCCGGGCTTGTGTTCCGACGTCATGTCTTCTCTGCCATGCGCCTGCTGGAGGAGGATGGACGCTTCACAAGACGGCCTGAACCATGTCGGCGACAAAGCCCGACTCCGCTTGCATGATGACTGCAGCCGACATTCCTTGTGCTCTCGCAGGGACGCCCGGCTGCCCGACCGTGCACTCCCCTCACGAAGCAGTCCCTAGTCGGCTCCCGGCAGGTCGTCGTCGAGAGGCCTTGCGGGTCGCCATGCCCGCCCCGGTGCCGGAGTCGGCAACGAGCAGACATTCAAACGACACCCGCCCTCTGAAGTCCCAGGGAGGAGGCGAACGAGTCTTCCGTATCACTCGTGGGCCATCTCCTCCCCTTGGCCTGCCCACTTCCCTTCCCCGGCCCGGGGTGGCACAGCCCGGGAGCGATAGCACCCCATGGGGCTATCACGTCTGTCTATCGTGTCGAAACACGTAGCACGGCCTTGTCCTATGGGAGGCCATGGTAATGCTGCAAATGTTCGTGCAGCGCGCCAAGTGGGGATGCTGGCTAACTTGCTGCTCCGTTTTGTGCTTGTGATTCTTTCCCCTCCATTCGCGCCCGTCGCCTCTGCACACGCTGCAGCACGCAACTCGTCGGACACGTCGCCGCCCGGCCCCCATTGGTCTTCTGCCCCAGCACTTGCAGCAGGCCCTCCCCCCTCTGATCCACCTCCCCTGGACCGGGTTGGCGCGATTCTGGCCGTTGCTGCACCTGCTCCTGCCTGGCTTCGTGGCGTTCGTTCATCAGTCCATTGGATTCGATCTTCTCGTGCTGGGCAGCAGCAGGCTGTGCCCTTCGACTTTCCTTGTCCTGTCCCTCCGCCCACATCTGTCGTTCCGCACAATCGATCGCCTCCGACGATCCCGCCGGCGACGGTTATCTCTAGCTGTGAACGGCAGTGCCGCCGCCTGACGAGAACAAAAAGGCACAAATGCCGGCTGTCCTGTTGTGCCGAATCTTGCCACCGACTATTTGAGGGAAAACTGGTGGTTTGATTATGGTTTTCAGTGGCCGAAAGAGGAAGAGAACAAGAGAAGAGAAAGAATCTATTGTAGTTGCCACAGCCAGTGCCAGGTGGTGTCTGGCAGCCGTCGCCCACTGGCCATCGGCTTCCATCTGGCATCTGGCCTCCCACGCTGCTATTCGTCTGCCGTTGGGAATCACTGACACGGGAATCGTCGCTGGACTACCTGTCTTGTTGTTTCGTGGTTGTGGACTGACATCTGCCGACCAGCCGCACCTGGTTGCTCGACACGTCTCCCGGCAGGTTGGGTTGGGCATCCAGACATAAGAGTCGGTTGCATGCGACTGCTGCAGACCTTCCTTGGAAACCGCTTGTCAGCCACTCAGCCGAAACCATAACCCCAACCCACGCGATCCCTTGGGCCTAGGGATTAGCCCACCCCAGCTACGATCGCCCTGCCGGTCTCTCGTGCTTTCGATGCGGGGAACCCCGGCGCACGCACAAATACTCCTTCTCCCTTTCTCGCCCTCCCTCGTTTTCCCTCACGATACCTCCCCGTACTCACAGCTCAACCGCCAGGCCCAGAATCCTGCTTCTGGCCGTATTCTGCCGGATGTTCTACATTTTGTTTCTCCCAGCATATCCTGCTTGCAAACCCCGTCCCTGACAGTTGTCATGAGGACTCACGACACAGCCTGACCAGATCCAAGGCCTCGACGCTGCCCCGGTTCGTGAAGGCAGAGGTTGCCCAAGCCACGAACAGGGGTAAACCAACGAACCCATCCGTCCACACGGCGATGCGAGATCTTGTCGTCTCATGGTGACCATAGGTCGAGGCGTATCACATCGCCGCAGCTTCTAACACCCTACGCCCAGACCCCGACTCCTCCCCAGACTCGTTGCTGCTCCACGCCATCTCGTCATCAGCGGCTCGTTGCAGCATGCTCCCGTGGCGTCCCTACCACCCGCCTCGAGGGATAGTCACGATGGATCGCTACGCCGTAACCGCGGGGATTCCCGTGTCGGTGTATTTTGTGGACGGATGCTGTATCGAAGCACGACGGGCCGAGATGACCGCCATCGGTCTCGACGGTCTCCGGGAGGCCATCGCAGATAAATACCACCCGGTGATGAGGATACTGACGGACGAGATCCGGACCACCTGCCGACTCCTGCGTGAGCTCACCGACAGGATACAGGTCCACATAGACCGCCTCCCAGTCGTCCTCAACTATTTGAATGTCTTCCTTGGCTGCCTCGCTCGATCGTTGCTCGATATCGCCAAGTTTTATGACAACAAGACCATCTCACGAGAAACGCGCTGGAGGAAGATGTACCACGACATGTCGGCCGAGGGCGGCATCCCACTGCCGCAGCGCTTCCTCATGTACAACCACTTCCTCAGCCTTCTAGTTCAGCTGATTACAAGGTCGCCCCATTTCGACATCAACACATTGGACGCTATCCAGGACAGGATCAACAAGCTGCGTGAGGAGAGAGGCATCCCACCGCCACCAGTCCCCGTTGGTCCCGCCGTCAACCCGCAGGCGCTCATGCAAGTCGCCCGCCGTGAGCGGAGTGACCACTGGGCCACCGAGATATTCTCGCGGCCGCTGCCGTCTCGCACCGCCATACCGGGCAAGCCGAAGGCATCCATAACACACGGGCCGTTCGCCAACCCTGGCGAGGTCATGAGGATCCCGAGTGACTCCAAGGAGCTGTTCAGGCGGCTGTTTGACAACAACAACATCACCGTTTCCGTCTACATCAACCCGTTCAACAAGACCCCGTTCATGGTCGTCAGCCACTACCAACATGGCCAGTCGCTGTTCTCGACCAAGGGTATCCACGAGCTGTGCATCAAAAGATCGAACGGCCGCCTGGTGCTCAAGCGCTGGAGCGAATCTGCGCAGACTGGCAAACCTTGGCTGGAGCTTGCCTTTCTCACCTGGGAAGGTCAGTATACCCGCGACCTGCGCTTAGTACCTACGTCGCTGGTTGATACTAACTCGCCGCTGTGTCCTTGCCGCAGAGATGGTTCTTTTTCACTGCACATTTGTCGCCCTCAAGGTGAACAGTGCTTTGTCAGTCCAGCTCATGCCTGAAGAATATGCGATCAAAGGCGAGAGGAAAGAGTTCCGAGCGTGAGCCAACCCAGTGCCCGAATTTCCCTTTCCCAGTTCTCGTGTCGTAGTGGCTGTCCAAATCCACCGTCATTATTACCCCGCGCTGTTTCCTCGTTTACGCATGCTCATTCCTCACTCCTCTTCAGAGCGATCCTTGACGACGGGTTCAGCCACTATCTCACCGTATTCAAGGACCCGGACACAGAGGCCGTTCGGCTCCATGCTGAGGTCTCGGAAGGGGACATGAAACAATGTCCAATCTGGACTGCTTTCGGCAAGTGACATGTTTAGCACTCGGAAACATGCACTCTCGGGATACTCCAACTAATACGCCGCCACTGTGGTCGTTTTTTTTTCGCAGTGACACACCAATCCAAGTCACCGACATGGATTCAGCTTAAGCGCGGAGGCGTTGTCCTGCTCATGGATGTGAACCTATACGTGTTTTGCAAGGAATATCGAGAGGAAAAGATGCGACAGAACAAACACGGCGCTTTCGAGATACATTTCAAGAATCCGGGAGGTAAGCTATATAAACTCAGCCCGGATCTACACCGAAACCCGCCGAATCACAAGCCCAGTCCGGCTCTAGAACACGTGCAAGAACCAAACCTAGCTAACTCGTGGTCCTTGGGATGATGACAGCGGCGGTAAAGTTCAAAGAGTGTTTCTACCAGACGCCACCCCCATCTCCCTCGACGCAGCCCACCGACCTGGACGACGAGAGCGAGCCCCCGACCCCCACGTCGGAATCCCCCATGTCGGAATCCCCAATGTCGGAATCCCCAATGTCAGAGTCCCCAATGTCAGAATCCCCAATTTCGGAACCAATGTCGGAACCCCCGATGTCGGAATAAGATCACAGAGGGTTACGATACAAAACGGCACTAAAGCTCCGGTACTGGCCAGTACCATTGGAAGGACTCGCCTACTTTACCACTGGCATCAAAATCCACCAACCGCATCTCGCTTCCCTGCACCACCGCCCATCAGCACACACTGGGTGGTTTGCTGTCACTGCCACGAATCGAGAATCAAGCCAGCTATTCTTTCTGGCATGGCGACGAACCCTCCTGCGTCATATTTGCCTTTTTTTTCCCGCCCAGGCCTCGCCCACCACTCAAGACTTGACTCGGACCTATCGCGCGCCACCCGACACGCCGCACGTCGCACGTGTTGCTACACACCCGGTATTATCTGCCGTCAGCTCCGGAACCTGAATTCACAAGGTTCAACCTGCAAACAAAAAGACAGGCAGGCATACCGCACTTTGCCCAGCGCCTTTCTAGCTGCCAGCCAGTAGTCACGTCTTATTTCTTCCACCTCGCGCCCTCCCGATACCCCGCGTTGCAGTCCCATTGTTCGATAAGCATGTAGGCTGCTTCGACGACCTTGCTCAACCCTGCGATTCCGGTTTTCTTTCCGTCTTTCCGTCTACACTCTGCTAGCGTCTGCGTCTGTATTATTCTTTGTTTTTTCTTTTTGCTCTTACGCGGCCTAGAACCGGAGGAAGTACCCACCCATTCTGCTCGGCTATTATGACAACTGACGACGTTTACGACAAAAACCGACATAGAAGAATATGTAATATTGTATGATTGGTCGAGGCAGGATAGGTATGGAAATATCTATAGCATTTATGATGACGGTTGATTTTGCACTATCTGGCACTCTCGATGTGACGTGTGACGCGAGTTCCTCTTGTTGTTCTATCCCGAGATGCTCTCTTTGCCTTTCCGATAATGGTGACTTGTTTTCTTGTCACCCTAGGAGGCCACCGTACATGACCCCCTCACACCTGTAACGAAATCATGACGAATTGGCAGGTGCTTGGAAGTATATGACGTCAGGCTCATGGGCGGCGTGGTTAGGCCACAAGCGTGGCTCCCAACGGGCAACAAGCGTAAAGGATTACGAAGGCGGGGGGGAAGCACCAAAAGGTGGAAACCCCTACATCTCTGAACGCTTCCAAACGAACAATACCGCACCCGGCCCCCGAGCTTCCGCGCACCGCTGCGCAAACAAGCCCACACGCGGCTACGAGGCCCGGCCTCGTGCATCGCAGATGGTCAGACGTGTTCATATAACTACGCCTGTTATGCGGACACGCGGTGCTGCATGTCTCTCCCTCCTGACCGTGGCATTCGGTGCGACCCGGGCGAGCCACGCTGAGGGGTTTTTTTTTACGGACGAGACCGGACGGGACGACAAGGTGAAGATAAGACCCCAGGGCAGGTTACGTGGGCGAAAGGTGAACGTTGTGAGAGGTAACGATCTAGTCTGATGGTCACTGTAACCATAACCGATCATGACTGCACACTGATTACTGCTGTAGATCAGTCGGCGCAAACAATTATATCATGGCAGTCATTGTCACAAAATGTCATGGCGATGTTCTGTTCGTTCTGGTTTGACGGTTCGAAAACGGCTCTTTTTCATTTCAGAAAAGAAAGCTATCCTTCCCCTAATGCTAGTGATACAAGTTTCTCATCGATGCTCATGACGCGCCCCAAGCACCCAGCTTAGGTTTGGGAATGGGTATCTTAGGGGAGGGAGCGAATAAAGTCGTCAAAGTCGATGAAGTAAAGGGTGGTGGAGTGCTGGGTGGTGCACTCCAAACCCATCCTAGAGGTCCCAGGCGAGTGGGATTGGGGAGGTGTCGTGTATGGGTGTTGGGGAATTCGTCAAAAAGAAAATCGAAGATGAGAAACGACAATGTCAAAGCAAAAACCCATTCCGTGCCTTCACGCGTGCAACACCGTCCCGACCCAAAGACGCAAGCAAGAAAATGAGCCCGGCGGAGGACCTGTCCAGGTCCTCACATCGGGATGACCACGAAGCCACAAGGGCTCAAGCGGTCGAGATTTAAAGTCTCGTCGTTTAGGCCTAATATTTGTTCGCGAAGGACAAATCAGCGAGAAAGGAAGAGTGTTCTAAGACGACTCATCCTCGTCGCCGCCGGCCTATGCGAATGTTTGTTAGAGTTGTGCCCAGAGGGGAGACGAAAACATGAAGTCAAGGGCGCTGGAGACATACATTATAGGCGGCCTTCTCGTCCTCGTACCGCTTCTTGTCGGCAGCGGCCTTGGCGTCGTAGGGAGCGCGCTGCTTGTCGCTAAGAGCCTTCCAGCGCTCACCCAGGATCTTGCCGACTTGGCCAAATGACACGCCGGGGTTTTCCTCACGGACGTTCTCACGCTGCTCGTTGGCGAAGAACATGTAGGCAGAGAGACCGCGCTTGGGCGCGAGAGGGTCCTTCTTGCCCCGGCGCTTCTCAGTCTTGGCACCCTTCTTAGCAGCGACCTTAGGCATATTGGCGGCTCTGCATGGAACACATGTTAGAATCCGGGCCTGAAATGCGAGGCGAGACAAGAGGTGGTGGTCGTGGCGGGCGTTACGAGGGGGAAAATGTGGACAAATAGCAATCGCGCGCTGCCGCAAAATGACTCGCCAGGGCTAAACGCGCCGCATCGCGACTTCGCGCGTGCGAATGTGATGGCAGACGTGCAGAGCCCTGGTGGCGCAATTGCAATTGAACGCCAGCGGGTGCTCGAATCGGGATTTTAAGTACGGAATTGGCTTATCAACGATTCGCGACATACCTTGAATGCGACTCTGGAAAGAGGGGAAATGTGGTGTTGAGAGGTGGTTTGCACTATTCGCGGGCAGTCTGGTCAGTTTGTGTTGGTCGCGATGGAGCCTCGATGACGACGTTGAGACTTTGCGCCCGTGGAGCGTGGTGGTGGAAGGGTCCAAGGCTTGGAGGGGGATTGTCGGGTGGGATCGTGCGTGGTGCGGGCAAAACAGGAGCAGCTGGGTAGAGTCGCCTGTTTGATGCATGCAAAGCAGACCATGCGCCAGATGAATCGAGGCCAAAGGGGTGCTCGCCTTTAGACCGAGGCCAAGGCGAGTCCTTACTTGAGGGCGACGAGGGCAGTGGTGCGCAGGCGGCGCTGGGAGAGGAAATCCGCGCACAGCGTGAAGCTCAATGCGCGGGTGCCATGTGCAATGGGGTTGACGGGGTGCGATACGATGGGCGCCAGAATTGAAGCCCAAGGCAGGCGGGCACAAAAAGTGACTTGTATTTTGGTGGGTGTGCAGGCGGCGGGTGAGGTACTTACGGGACTTTGCGTGTGTTGCGATGCGTGAGGGTGCGGGTTTGTATGGGAGACTCTGCGCTGGTAAGAGAGAGGAGAGGCAGAGGAAAATTGTATGGGGGGAGGACTGAGGGAGCGCCTTTTTACTATGGGCCGGCTGATTGTGGGCAACTTGGAAGGGAAATTCGCGCCGGCCGCCCTCACCCACCTGGCAGAGCGCAGCCCCGAGGTGCCAGAAGTGAGGGGCAGCTGGCTGGGGCTGGCTGGCTCAGGCAGTCCATACAGTCTTTGGCTGCCCCCCCCCCCCCCCCCCCCGGCCGGGCTGGTGCTTGCTCCTGCGCGAACGCGCTCACACACCTGTCCTGATTGCCCCCAGTCCGCTTGTCTGGCTCCCTTCCTCCTCCCTCCCTCCTCCACTCCCCTCCCCTCGGCCGCAATAAAGAGGAGCAGCCTGGGCTGGGCGCTCGCCCACCACCGGTTGCTGCAGCACCAAGCGACCACCAGCCGGCTTTTCCCACCAAAAAAGCACCGCCCGGTCGCGCAGCGCAGAGGCAGTGTGTGGTCAAAGTACAGTACATGGGCTGGTGGTACCCCGCGCCTCGCTGGCTCCCCGCACTGTGTACCTCCCTCGCCCCTTGGGCTCGCCGTTTCCACGGTCGCCCCTGCGGTCCTGGGCCGCTTTGTGCTCCTCTGCGTGTCACTCACTTCATTCACGCACCTCACCTCCCGCTGTGCCTACCCCCTTCCAGCAGGCTCACGGTGGCTCCGGAAACCCACCCTGCACGCGCTTCAGTCAATCAACGAGCCCGCCGCCCGCGACAGAGCCTTCCCCCAGCACCTGTCCCTTGTTTCGCTGCTTTACTCGCACCCTCCTCCTCCATGCCGACGGCACACGCCTACGGCAGCGATGCCACCTGCCTCCTCCCACTGGCCCCCTTTCTTGCCATGTGCCTCTCCATCCCTTGTTAGCGTTCCGACTCTGTGCTGCGCGTCCGTCTGGGAATGTCGGAGACATTCCAAATGCGTCCCCGAGGTAACCTTGGCTCTGCTGCCCTTCCTCCCGCTTGGCCTGGCCTACTCGACTCACATTTGCCGGCGCCCTCCTTTGGGGCGACAGCCCCAAGACGCTCGCCCACCCACAATGGAGAGGCCCCGCCCCGCTTCTGCTTGCCAGTGCTTGCTTCCGTTTGCTGTCTGTCTCTGCCATGCTGGCGCCTAGCACGCCTGGGTGATTGATTCCCCAGTCCCACACACCCGACCCTTGCTTGGCCTGCCGTCAAGTGTCTCGTCGCGCTCCCACCACTCCATACCAAGGCCCATTCTCGCCCATACTCGCCCATCCTCGCTCCAGTCTTTTTCCACCCGCGACCCAGCCAATCACATCAACCGACGCGACTGCATTCCTATTTGGTGCCCCCAAAGCTGCAACTTCATGATCAAACACAGTCGCAACTGCCCGAGGAATTCGCGCTGGTCGTGGCGCTTAATTTAGAGGCCATCCAGCGCAGTCACTCCATTACCAGGACTCTGTGGCACAGCATGCATGCAGCCACATGTGCTCCGTGTATAGTGGCCACTTGCGGCCGTCCGCTTGGGAGGTGTGCGCTCTGAGCCGCCCCTTCTGATAGCTTACCGCTGCCAATGATGCCATTCCAGGCCAACTCGCCTATCTCCTGACAACAACGGGACTGGTGCTCGTTAGTGGGCACATTTGACACCAGGCCGCCCTGAACTCGTAAGTGGGCATGGTCGTTGACCAGCGTGCCAGCTTCCCAGCCCTCCGTCGGCGCTTACTGCGCATCCCGTACACGGGTGCCCCGTTCCCCGGATGGTAAGAATACAAGGAAGAAGCTGCCGGTTTCGGTTGTCGCCGATGAATGGCGCAGTCTGCCTAGGTACCTTCCTTGCCTGTCAGGTACCCATTGTGGCAGCCTGCCTACTGTGTGCTCGATGGCTGAACACTGCTCCCTTTACGCGGGTCTTTCTCCCTCATTTCTTCGTTTGTTCTCCCTTGGAGGCCTGGCCCAGATCCTCTTTAGACAGCCGGCGAGCGTACCTAGCTACAGCCCCCGCAATACCAGAAACAGAACCAGACTACGGATGGCCAGGGATATGGAGGATTGCACGAAGGGCACTTGCGACTGTGCACGACTGACCACAATCTCGCTGACGGGCTGGCTGGGACGGGCTGGCGGACGGGCTGGCCATCCCGGTGCAGGCGATATCCATCACATTCCGAAACAGCCCCATCCCGTCGGGCCACCAAAACGCAGGAGGCAACAGAGTCGCATTGAGCCCGGCGTGTGGTGGGTGCATCACATCAATGAATGTACTTGACAGTGCACCGAGCGCATGTACTGGTGGCCTTGTTGGGCCATGTACTAGTACATTGGGTGGGGTACTGGAACGACTTTGATTTCCAGTCCAGCACGCAGACTGGGGTGTGGCTGCGCAGCAAATTCGCAGCGGGAAAAAAGAAAAAAATGGGGACCAGGAAAAAGGAAAAGAGCATGGCACACCCAAGCGGGCAGCCACTTTCCCACTGTGTGGTGTGTTTGTGTGTGTGTGGTGTTGCCTGCTTGGAAAGAATGGATGGAATGGCACGCTGCACTGACGCGCAAGATTGATTGCCCCTCCTGCGCGGTGCGTGCGGCCAGACCGTGACCCAAATCAGCGCGCTGCTCTAGCGCCACACAAAAACCGGGACTGTTCCAGCCCACGCATTTCCCACTGTCCTTTGTGCTCCCTCCCACTCGGCTTGTTTTGCGAGCAGAGGGGAGGACGCCCGCCCCCAGCCCTGCTTCTCCCACTCACTCCCTCCCTCCCCAACCTCTGGTTCCTCCGTTGCTGCAAACGCTAGCCTAACCTCCATGGGCATTGGCCAGACTGCCTCTTGCCCATCCAGTGATGCGCCTGTGACTGTCCACGCAAAAAGGGCCAACACGCCATCCACCAGGTAGTATCAGGTCGGGATTCCTTGCCGACACGCAGCGATGCGGTTGTCAGTAGAGGCCACCGTACACGATTCAACAATCTACCAAGCTTCTTGCTTCTGCTTCTGGTTTGCACACATGACGGACGGACGCCTGACCTTTTTTTTTTATACTGTCCCTGCTGCCGAGGCGCCGCAAGTCAGGAGAGTGCCGATGGCGGAGGCATACCAATCCCCTGTCTGTCCGCGCTGCTCCGCTTTGTCGGTGGTCTATCGCTGGACCCCGAAATCATGACCGGTGGCTCATTGCGTCCATGTTGGCCCCAAGGATGGATCGATGTAGCATCCGGCAGCTTGCCCAGTCGGATTACCCTCTCCCTCCTCTGTGGATCATCCTAATGTGATGAACGAACGAACGCCCGGTCAAAAAAATGAGGGATAAGCGGGAGTCTATCGTAGGCTTTCCGCATTTTCCCTCCTTTGGGCGGAACCCAAAGTCGAGCCGAATGCACGCGTATGGGAAAGTTGGGGATCTGGTCCTCGACAATATACTGTATGCGTGTCACGCTCATACGGACTTGATGCGGCTAGAACCACGCATGATATATGCAGGGCAGGGGGGAGACAGCTTCAAGCCAAAAAGCATCCTCCAGGAGACCTGACGAAGTGGTGGGTGCTTTTTGCATGTTGCTGTGAACCACATCCCAACCAACCTGATATGCATCCCCCGCCTCGCGTCGGGTACTACTGGACCTGACGCCGCGCGCTCCCACGGCGTTGCACAAAAAAAAGAAAAAGGGACCACCATAGCGGAAGCAGAGAAGACAGGAGTCAATATATCACGAAGCCGGGCGTTGCACCACACATGCGAGATTGCCGCCCGAGGGGCCGAAAAAAAAAAGCCAATAGGTGCAGCCCGGCACAGCATGGCTTCGTATTCGAACGACTTGTTTCAACCCACAACTCTCTTGTGTTACCAAGACATCCCATCCCTTACCACCACCTGATGCCGGGTTACGATGCCACCCCCTTGAGAGTATGTCGACGAATGTACCTGCCGCTGGGCTTCCTTCCGAGCTCACATTCTCTTCTCCGGTGAAGCTCCGAACCAACAACCCCCAGGCCTGTCAGGGATGTTGGCCTTTTCACCTGCAGCTAACCCACCCACCCACACACACCAGGGATCCATTTCTTCTCCCCAGCCAAGCTCCGTCCCTCCGCCGGTCTGGACGGAGGGAGAGTTCGGTGGGTTCATCCGCAGCGCCGGTCCGCTCGGATCCGTGATCCATGAGATCCGTTGCATGGGGGAAGGGTCGGGGGCGGGGCAGAGGCGCATAGGCGCATCGGGAAACTTTCCGAGGAACCAAGACTACTCTCGACAAGGAAAATGTGCGTCTTTTTTTGGGGGTGTTGCATGAGCTTGATAGTTTGCTGGTACATAGAGTTGAATCCTTCCCTAGTTTACGAGGAAATTTTCAGTGGGCACACAAAAACAAAGTGATAGATGTCCCGATTTCAGGCTGCTGCTTTTCTGTTCTTTGCTGATTCCCTAGCCGCCCCCGGGACCCCGATCCATCTACTCGGGGTCGAGGACCATGTCCCTCAGCGCGGGGTCGCGGACCCAGTCCACGCCGCTGCCGACCACGACGGCGCTGGCCGTGCCCTTCATGACCCGCAGCCGCCGCCGGCTCTGACGCAGCTCGTCCTCGAGCCGCGCGATGCGGCCGCCGTCGCCATCATCGTCGCCGTCCGGGAGCGGCATCTTGTCGTCCCTGGCTGCCTCCCCGGCCAACCGGAGCATCTCGGCCGCCAGCTCGACGTTGCGCCGGGACGCGGCCGCGCTCTCGCTCTCGACCCTGGTGAGCCGGTCCAGCACCTCGTGCAGCTCCGTCGACTGCGTCGCGACTGCTCGGGCTGCCTCGTCGCGCTGCTCGATGGGCTCCTCTAGGTCCCTTTTTTTTTTCCGAGGTGGTGGCCGAGTTAGTTAGTAACATATTTGAGGCGCTCAGTCCTCGTTGGCGATACATCAACACTACCCATGTTGTGTGAACCAATAGCATTTGGGTACCTTTCAATGGGTGACGCTAGCTTTGCCCCATGGACAGCATTTAGTATGGGGTTTGCCGACAGCACGCTCTCGACCGCCTGGTTGCGCAAAAAGTAGGATGCCCGCGTCTCCAGCAGCTGGGTTTTGGCCTCCTCCAAGGCAGCTTCATTATCCTCTGACGACGAGCCTAGATCTTCCAACATCTCAGCCGTAAGGAACGTGAGATCGAATGACGGTATAAAACGTCGCAGTTTGGCTTACTGGGGGCAGGCGACTGTCTCGCCTTGACCAAGGCGATCTGTAGCTGGAGCTCTTGAAGGCGATCAAAGAGCTGGAGAAGGCGTTCTTCGTCATTCGAGAACAGTGCGACATGCCCATCACCAGGAGCATCTTGCATCAAAGTGTCGGCCGAGGCCATTGTTAATTGCAGTATTCCAAGCGCAGAGAACGATGCGAGTAAGAAAAACACGAAGCTCTTTATACTGGGAAGTCTCGATGATGATGATGCTAAATCCAGAAATACCACACAATCTCGCACAAACGACTCGATCCCTCCATCATTCGCATTCGGCGCACGGACCAACATCCACATTCGAATACAAGGGACACACGAAAACTCATCGAACCCAAGTTGCCATCTTCTCACGCTTTAAAAGGCTCAAGCTTCATTTTCCCCTTGACCAAGGACCAGACCCAGAACGCATCAAAAATGAGGATATCCAGGAAGCTAAAAACGAGGCTGCCTCCGAAGACGAAAGAGTGGTAGGTCCACGCGCGGCTCGGATCCAGGTTCGCCGTCTGGCACACGATGGCCCACGGCAGCACATAGAGCAGGTTGCTCGCCAGGCTCTGCCATAGGTACCAGCGCGGCCTCGTGGCCAGTAGCACGGTCGCGAGCTGTGTAGACACGGCGTAGAATATGTAGCACCAGTCCAGAGAGCGCCACATCATGGCGGCCACGTCGGCCACCTCGTCGGACCCGCCCAGGTAGCGCGCGAAGGGGCGGACGCCCAGGAAGGTGAGGAACAGGCAGACGGGGACCTCGACGGCGAGGGCGAGGGCGACCGACGTGGCGGCGGGCCGCAGCACCGGCACGAGGTCGCGCGGGGCGACGCGGGGCTGCAGGTCGCCGACGCCGACGGACCGGCGGAGGCGGCCCCAGGCGTGGGCCGTGAAGGCGAGCGAGGTCTGCTCTAGCGCGTTGACGGGCACCATGATGAGCCCCCACCGGATGGTGTTGAAGACCCCCCACGCCGTCGCGTACGTCGACCCCATGGCGACGATGGTGGTGATGAGCCAGAGGTAGAGCGCGTTCCGGACCGCCGACTCGAGGAACGTGGCGAGGCCCGGGCGGAGGAGGACCAGGAGGTGACGCACGCTCGGACGTGTCGCCTCGATGACGTCGCGGTGCTGGGGGTGCTTGCGGAACCGGAGGCTGGTGCGCCAGAGGAAGTATGCGAGGCCTGCGAGCGCCGCCGTCATGTTGCAGGCGAGCTGAACGCCGGCCTGCAGGTTGACGGTCGGGGTGTGGGAGCCCACGTGGAAAGGTGAGATGAGCAGGAGGTCGAGCGCGATGTTGACGGCGAACTTGATGGAGCTGATGATCAGTGGCACGTCCGGCTTGTCCAGCGCCCTCGTGGCGTTGGCAACGGCCGTCTCTATCGTGCTGGTCAGGGCGCTGAAGCCGCTGATGCGCACATACGTGATGCTCACGGCGCGCACCTCGACGGGGACGAACCCTTCGGCGAACGTCGGCGCTGCGCCGACGAAGGCGATGCTCATAATCAGGCCCAGCGACGCCTGGAATAGGATCAGGGTGTGGGTCAGGCCCAGCCGCTGGGCGAGCGTCCTGAGCGATGCGTCTCCGATGATGACCCAGGCGGCGCGAGGCAGGCCTTCGTTGAGCACCTCGACGACAACGCCGATATAAGTGTATATGTCGGTCGTCACCACCAGCGAGGCGTCGATGTTGGCTACCCAGTACTTGGACAGGAGATTGTACAAGGCAGGCAGGATGAACGAGGCGATATTAAACAGAAGCGCGCCGGGGTACCGTTTGCGATGGTACCAGGCAACGGGCTCGATTTCAGCGTCGCCGTCGCCGCGCCCCTCATCGTCGTCGTGACCAAGGCGGCGGTTGGTAGAGCTGTCCCGCGGCCCGGAACCCTCATGGGCGGATTCCTCAACGTCACGTTTGGGGAGCATGGTGTATCGCGAAGGCGTCCCGGAGAGGGAGAGGACGGAGTTTGCTAGTCTATTCATGCTGTCGGCCGTGGCGAGAGGCTGGCTCTTGTATGTACGGCGTTGTCTGTGTGCTATCACATCACACCCATCACAAGAAATATCTCACACCACCCATACGCCCGGGGGCTTTTGGCAGCAAATGAGCGCGGTCTCTGTCCCCACCATGTGTATTTTTCAGCGTGCCCAAGAGACGGTGGCGCGTTCTAGATGCAAGTCTCTCCGCTCAAACCGGACATAGCGGCGGGCCTCCCGCAGACAGGCAGGCCGGGGCGGCACCGGTGGAATGGCACAATGGCTAGGGTGGGTAGGGCCGTGAAGAATGGGGGAGGATGGCACGATGGGTGACGGGTGATGGTTGATGGTAGGTGGGCACGTGGGATCGTGGGGCTAGCAGAGGCGAGTTTTCTGGGCAGGCGGGGGGATGCAAGAGATCGGAAGGGTCCGCCTGGCGCCGGCTGCCAGCGTGTTGGTACGCGCCGGTTCTGCCGGTATCGGGGGAAATATGCTGGGCTGTTTCTGGTAGTCCCTCTTATTGCTCTTGGCTATGTAGTACAAGGAACAGTACAGAGATGGTAGAAATAGGACAGGACAGGAACAGGAACAGGAATCCATACACCATCCATGCCATGCAATGCCATGCCTCCACCCAAGCAATCGCAGGTGCCAACCAGACACTGCCAGACCACCCGTCCAGGAACCAGGGCCGGGTGGATCCACTGGTGGTTGCTTGTTCGTGACCTGGGGCTGCCCACATGACGGAGTCTTTGATTCACAGTGGTGTCCAGGTGGCAGAATCACAATCACGCTAGGGATCACAGGCGGTGTGTCGCTATCGGCGGCGTCACTGCCCTGCATCCCCGGAAGTCTTCCATGGATGATAGGCCCCAGCTCAGTCCGGCTGCCTGCCTGCCTGTGCTTTGCTGTGTTGTGCTGTGCTGGACTGTGCTGTGCTGTGCTGTGCTGTGCCAACACGAAGGCGCAAGCTGCTCGTGCCAAGTTGGCCCTTCCCTGGCAACCGGACACTCGTAGCTACCTGATTTCTGGATTGCGAGATCTCTGATTGCGAGAGTCCAGTCCTTTGTTGAGCCTGACACTTGTCGCGATGACCTCGTAGGTGCCTGCTTAGTGGTAGTTCCTCCATTGAATGACCCTGCATGAAAACTGCCGTCTGCTGTCTGCTATCTGCTATCTGCTATCGCCGCCGCTTCCCCAATCTCACAGGTGCTCGACCCTCCGCTGACCCACCCAGCGATACCTCGAGTGCGCCTTGAAACCACCATCTCTCGCCTCCTCCGCCTCGGCCCTGTCCTGTCCATCCATCCGTCTGAACCCTGCATTAGCCTGGCCCGCCCATGCCTATGCCTGTATTGTTTTGTTGTCCATCATCCTCTTCTGCGTCCGCCTTTTCCGAACCTTGTTGCCAAACCCTCAACCAGCACGGTCCCGCCCAAAACCTAGCCTACAGCCAACCTACCCTTGACCTGGGCTCCATCCATAAACATCGAGCCGCGCCGCCCCTCCCTCCTGTTTCCCCCAGACGCGATGCCCGGTGATGCTCCCCGATGGCGGCACAGGTGTTGATCGCCCATACGGGCCAACGCCTAGAGATAGACACTTCGCGACTCGAAAGGTATGTGATTGCCCGCCGCATGGCCTCGCCTTGCACACAGCGCTCGCCGCAGCAGAAGCTGACTCTTTCCGCAGCCTCGATGATTTCAAGCTCGCCGTCTCCCGACAAACCTCGATTCCTCCAAACTGCATAATCGCCCTAGTGCCCCCCGGCAAGGCCCTCAAGCCCCAGGCCCTACAGACCGAGAAGGAAATCTTTGTCTACGACAGCCGCGTCACACAGGCCAGCTCGCCCACCGCTTCGCTTCCCGCCCAGCTCGAGCTCGCCCCGCCCAAGCCCTACGCCATCTCGAAGCCGCCCAACGACATCCACGACACCCACTCGTTGCAGTCATGGCAGGACCTCTTCAGAGACCGCCGCGCCTGGGCCCTCCAGGTGGCCCAGGACTGCGATGAGATGGCCAGAACGGCCCAGGGGAGCTACGAGCAGGTCGACGTCATATTGACATGCCTCGACGCTGCCGTGGCCAATCTCGAAGCTGTCGTGCGCGCCACCGAGAGCAAATACGATGAGCTGAAGAAGTGGCTCGCGCCCGAGCAGGCCGAGTTCAACGTCCTGGTCACCAGCTGGGAGCAGTATCTCAGCCTTGCCCGCAGCGTCCCTGTCTCGGCCTCTATGGTTCGCCTGATGACGGGTAAAGACGTGACGGGCGCCAAGGGCCGCCCCTCGAAGCAAGCGACGCTCGAAGACCTGGTCGATCTCGATGTGGCGCGCAGGGAAGGTCGCCGTGCGCCAGCCGTACTACGCAAGTTCACCACCAAGGCTGCCGACCTGGAAAAAGCCGCCTCACGGCTCATACAGAATTTTGACGAGATCGTCCATCAGTTCGAGCAAGCCGCTAAGCGCTCAGCTCTGTCGCACGCAGACGAGCCTGCCCAGCTGCTCCAGGACATCGGTGCATTGGTCAACAAGATCGAGACCGACTACCACACCACCCTGGAGTACTCCTCCTCGACAAGGGACTTGCTGCAGGCATCCAAGATTGCTGCCACCCACACCGAACGCTTGCTGCCTAGTATCCGGAGTAGGGCCCTCGAGATGGATAAGATGGTGCGCGACGCCACGCAGGCGCGCAATGCCCTAGCCGCTGAGTCGCTCGACTTCATGCGGAGCATCACTGAGATGACCAGCCTCACCACGCAGGTCAAGGCCCAGATCAACTCGGTCGGGCAGGACGAGGAGCTGTCTACTTTTGACTACCTGCGCCTGATACAGCAAGTTCCCTACGTTTATGCCTCATTTGTCGCCGAATCCATCAGGCGTCGGGAGTGGTACGAGAAGATAAGGACAGACTCGGCCACCCTGGCCAACGAGATGGCGCTCTTCCAGGACGAGGAGATCAAGAGACGCAGGAAATGGTTCAAGTCCATTGGCGAGACGAACTACGGCCCAGAGGCTTTGGGTGCGGAGAGCAACGTCCCTGGCCTCGAAGTAAATCTGCTGGGCGAGGACGAACAGTGGCCTGCCATGTCGAGAAAGGAGCTGGAGGAATTTCACGACACGCTGCAACGGCAGAGGGCCGAGGCGGAAATCATGGCCGACATCGCCAAGCTGATCGGCGAACTGAATTCGCCCACAAAACAGCAGTTCAAGCGTCTGAAGGCGTTCAAGAATGGCAGCGTGCACGAGGCAGCTCTTGGACGCAGCGGGCTCATGATCCGCGGCGACGATGAGGTGCTCCGCTCTTTGCAAGAGGACAAGCTCAAGCTTGAGACCAAACTGAAGACTGCAGAGAGCAGAGTGAGGAGGTTGGAGGACCTTTTGCATCGCCAAAGCCAGGCCTCGCGGCCAACCCTAGGCAATATGTTCCAGACACCGAGCCAGCAACTCCCTGACCGCAACGACTCTACCGCCTCGATAAGGTCCCCCGCGCTTTCGGTCGACCGTCGGCAGTCTGTCGATAACCACGATATCCAGATCTTTCAGCGTATCAAGCAGCTGGAGACGGAACTCAACAGTGAGAAAGAGCGCGCTGCTGTTTTGGAGAGAGATGCGGCGGCCCGCGCCACGCAACACGACGATATAAAGTCGCAGATGGACGAAGTCAACTCGACCAAAAAGGATCTACTCGAGAACATGGAGGCGCTCAAGCGAGAGTTTATGGATGAGCGCAAGTCCCTTGAGGAAGAGATTCGGAAACTGCAAGCTAGGCTTGAGTATACCGAGGACGAGATTGAGCACTTTGACGAGTCGCGCGAGAACGAGAAGGCCTCGTACGACGACAAGGTCCGCTCGTTGGAAGCAGAAGTCGAGAGGCTCGCCAAGGAGAAGACGGACGATGCGCTCAAGGCCCAGGGGCAGGTCGATTTCCTCCGGAACGAGGCGCGGCTGCAAAGGGAGCGCAACGAGGCACTGCAGGCGCAGCTGCAGTCCTCACAAGATGATGTCAACAGCCTGACCCGGAAGCTGAAACAGTCTGACGAGGTCGGGGAAGTGCCGATGAGGGCGCTTAGAGATCTGCACCAGCAGTATCTTCCAGAGACGTCACTCCCAAGCGACATCAACGACCTTGCTGACGCGGTCTCGAACAAGTTGGCAGACATACTTGCCAAGGTGCGCACCGTGGAAAGCGACATGGTCATACTCAGGTCAGACCTGGAGCTCGCTCAAAATGCAGCGCGCGAGCTCAAGTCGACCCTCCTGGAAACGCAGGAGAAGCTCTCGAACGAGGAGATGACATCGCTGCGCCTCAAGGAGCAGTCGCTGGAGCAAAAGGCCAGGGTCAGCGCGCTCGAGGGCGAGCTCGAGGACGGCCGCAAACAGCTGGACGAGCTTCGGGTGCGGCTGGCGCACGGTGAGACGGGATCGGAAAGCCTCCGCGTGCGGCTTGAAGAAGAAGACAAGAAGATCATGACGCTCACGGAGGACCTGGCATCGAAACAGTCACAGGTCGGCAGTCTTGAGGAAGAGCTACGGCTGTTCCAAGAGAAGCTGCAAGTCTCGCAGTCCAAGCTGGGGCTTCTCGGCAAACGGAGCGACGCGCGGACGGAGCGTGCCAAGGACCTCAGCCAGCGGCTGTACTCGCAGAATGAGCGTCTGGTGCGGCTGCTGGAGCGCCTTGGCTTCTCGGTCAGCCGTGAGGGCGGTTCAATGGCTATCCAGAAGATCCCGCGCGCTGAGCGGTCCACGACGATTCTCAACGAGGGAGAGACCAGGTCTGGGGCGGCGAGCCGGGTGCTGGCGGAGCAGCCCGGGGACATCGAGTTACTGTACTGGATGCACGCGTCGGGCCTGGAGGAGGAGGCGGAGAAGTACGAGGCATACATGTCGTCGCTGGGCAGTTTCGACATGGACGCCTTCTCTGAGACGCTCTACCGCCGCGTCAAGGACGTGGAGCACGTGGCGCGGAAAATGCAGCGAGATCTGCGGAGCTGCCGGGAGAAGATGCACATGCTGCAGAAGGACGCACACGACAAGATCGCCTTCAAGCACTTTAAGGAGGGCGACCTCGCCCTGTTCTTGCCAACTAGGAACCAGACGAATGGAGCGTGGGCCGCTTTCAACATTGGGTTCCCGCACTACTTCCTCCGTGAGCAGGAGGCACACCGGCTCCGCAACAGGGAGTGGCTGGTGGCGCGCATCACGAGGGTGCAGGAGAAGGTGGTAGACCTGTCCAAGAGCCTGCAGGGCGAGACCGAGTCGCTCAACGAGGATGACAACCCCTTTGACCTATCGGACGGCCTGCGGTGGTACATGATCGACGCGGTGGAAGACAAGCCCGGTGCGCCATCGACACCCGGCTTGGGTAAGACTACCGTCGCCGCTAACAACGTGGAGGCGAAAGGAGACGTACACATGCACCCGAGATCGGGCAAGGCGCTCAGCCCGCTGGGCGGCCGACCCACGGGCATCGACGGCGTTAGCAAGACGCTGTCCAAGAGCCTCGAGAGCCGACGGTCGAGCACGAGTTCCAAGAGGGCGCCGTCGGCCCTAGCCGGCCCATCAGGGATTCGCAATGGCACTGGCAGCCACAACAACCCTTCGAGCGAGACCAACAGTCTGCGGGCGACGGCGGATGCGTCTGCTACCGCGAGCCCGAGCCAACAGCAGGCCCAGCTCAACTCGCCGGCCCAGTCTCCGGGTAAAGTGCCGCCCGTCGACGCCGAGGTACGGAACAACGGCCACATTGTGGACACGCTGCTTGGGCCTTGAAGTGTGAAGACGGCTAGCTGATGGACGCGGCCATCTTGTTTGTGTGCCGGCTTGTCGCAGACTCCCCATGCTCCTCGTCATAATTATCATAATCATGTATACAGCGCCCAAGCGCAGCCACCACCACAACAACACGGCCGCGTACCGCCGCCGGTGCAGCGGGAACACAGCGCCGCCTCAGTCGAAAGCCCTGCCAAGAGGAGTGTCGTTTGGGACCACTTGTGGAATCTAGACTTCGGCTATGACGGCGGCATGTGATGGGGGTTGGGTGCGCACCTATCAGCTTTTATTCTTGAATTTTATTATTGTTGTGGCGTGGGATCCCTTAACACAAACCTTGAGACCCCGGCGTTTGGATAGCTGTTGAAGTATCACTCGGACAAGTGCTTGATACTGGGCATATCTCTTGTTGTGGGGTTATCGGGCGTCTTTGGTTGCTTGTTTATTTTTCTGTCTTTCTTTAGTTGGACGTTTTCTTTTTTTGTCCCCTTTTCTCCCTTCCATCGTGCATCTTTTTTCTCGCTGCCATCCCTCGCTGCCTCGCTTGGGCAGGTGGCGATATAGACCGCGCTGGTTAACAGAGCGGTGTTTTATTTGTCTAATGGTCTCCTTTGTCTGGCTTGCGCGTGTTGCCATATATCATGAAGTAGCAAGAATAAATATCATCTTCGGAGACCTCATGACTGCCCCGGCCGCGGTCGGGAACGTCACGGAGCAGTGCCAAACATGAATCAACCAGTTGGCAGTTTTGAGCAATGTGATTTTTACATGTGTTTGGCCACCTATATAACACGGCGCTTGCGCCTGACACAGCGGCAGCTATACCTACCCCATCAGACGAGCAGACGCGCGCGCTCACGAGGACTCCTCCTCGACGACCTCAAAGTGCTTCACGACGGGCTTGACGGCGGGCGCGACCCCCTCGTGCGGGATGGATATGGAGACGGTCCAGCGGCCGAGGGCGCGGACCTTGGTGGCGTCTGGCACGGCGTTCCCCCCCTCGTCGACGACGCCCTGGATGTGGAAGTGCTCCTCCTTGACGGGGATGCGGGCGGCCTCGCCGTGGCCCAGCAGCATCTCGCGCACGACCTGGGCCAGGTCCGCGGTCGAGACGGAGCCGAAGATGGGGGTCCCGGCCGCGTGTGTGGTGACGGGCTCGGCCTCGGCGGCGGCGGCGGCGGCGGCCGAGTCGGTCGATATGGAGGCGTCGTCGGCCAGCAGCGGGCTGCGGTACGGCTTCGGCGGCTCCTCCTTCTTGGGCGCCATAACCCTGCGGCGGAAGATCATGACCTCGGGGATGATACTCTGGAGGAGCACGGCGGCTTGCTCGGGCTGTAGTTTTGTGTGTTTTGTTGGTTTTTTTTAGCATGGGAGGGAACGGAAAAGGGAGAGGGAGCGGTTCTTTTAGGAGTATGAGATTGGACTACTGACCTCGGGAGACATGAGCGGGCTGACCGACGCCTTCTTCTTCTTCTCGTTGAGCCCGTCGGCGGCGGCGGCGTTCTGGGCCGCCTGTTGCTCGGCCTCGGGGGCGGCCGGCTTCTTGGCGATGGCGAAGAGCGGGTCGCGCTCGCCGATGGCGTCGCGCGTCAGGCCCAGCTCGGCGAAGCGGGCCGTCGTCATGTACTCGGCCTTGCGGGAGGGGTACCACATGTTGCGCATCCTGCCCCGGGGCGCCAGGAAGATGGAGTCTGTAGGGGGGCGGGCAGGCAAAAGGTCAGCATGGGTATGGGGGTGTCTGGGTGACGCTGGTGAGGGTTAGCAGCAGCAGCCAGCAGGAGAGAGAGAAGGTACTCTTGGGCCCAAACTGCCTGATGTCCTTGAGCAGCCGCACGAGCACGCCCTGGTCATACTGTCGGCCCTTGGTCTTCTTGCCCCGGACCTGGGTCAGGCCGGCGGCGGCGGAGCTGGAGGGCAAGGAGGAGACGGAGGATGCCGGGTCGGCGGCAACGGCAGCTGCCCCGGCGCCGATGAGGGTCCGGCGGAGACAGCTGAGGCACGTCGGCGGCGCCCTCGCCAGCAGCGGCGCCGGCATGTTTCGTGGAGGGGCAGGGGATCTGCTCGGTTGGGGGGGTCCCTCGGAGGGATTGGGAGGGGTGACGGCTTCGGGACCGCGTGCTGAAATTGGAGGCGCCCTCTTCTCTTCCAGGGCTTGCTTTTGAAGCTATCGCAATCCTCTCAATTGCTAAATTTCTCAAAGCTGCCACCACCACCATGCGACCCGGCTGTGGGCCCACATTTATCCACTGCGTGGCGGGCAGGTGCGGGCTACAGGGGTGGAACCATGTGCCGTGGAAGCTGGTTGGGTTACTTTGGGTGCGCCTTCAATTGCGGGAAAAGTTGTGTTTTGCTCTACTCTTGATGTTGATCGCGGGTGAGGGTATTACCCAACTTACCAAGTGCTTTAGAGCCTTTGAAGTCTATGGTTTGAATGGTAATATTAATGAAATTCGGATGAAATTCCAAACTCTAGTCACCTCTCTTTGAAGTGGCCAATGTCGCAATCACCCCTCTCCCCTCACTTCCCTGGACTGGCTCGTCTCGACTTTCCTTGTGTCAAGTTGGAACCCTGTTTGATATTTTTCCTTATCCTCCTATAACCTTTCCCCTTTTCAGACGATTGAAGTAACCCCCGGAACGTACTAGTGTACTACTGAAATGGGACAGGTAAAAAAATACATCTGTTTACATCCGGTTTTATATATCGGGTGTGTGCCAGTGGTAACCCCGATTGAGAAAACCCCCATGGTTTCAACCTTTGCTATTTTGGAGAGAGGTAATGCTCGCAACGCTTCATCGACGCCAAACCCTTTTTTTTCTTGTTACACAATGTAGTTTTCCCATCAGCTACCATGTTCTCCTCTTTCCCAAGCCAACGCCACGCTAACCCGTCGATTCCGAGGTTGACTGTCCGACACCAAATGAGATCCAAGGTAGGTGTCACCCCAGAAAATCAGCAGCCATACATGGCCAGGTCCACATGTTGTGCTGCGGACCTGTCATGCAAAAGAGACGCGTCAAAAGCCAACGCCTTGGTGGGTATTTAAAATCCATGGAAATGCCAAGGGTTTACAGGGGCTTGCCACCGATGAACTCGGACCACCGGCGAACCTCGGTCGGGATGCCATCTTGACGGGGCAGCTTCTTGCTCATGCATTCGGCAAAGAGAATTGCCGTCTAGGTAGGGAGACTGTCAGCAAAAGTTGTCGTATCATAAGTGTCATTCAAGCTTGAGCCGTGCTTACCTGAGGCTCCATGAACAGGGGGATACCGAAGTCGACCGCATTGCGACGCATGATGTAGTCGACATCAGACGTCGTCTTGGCACGGGTCAGGGCCAGGTTGAAGACGCCCTTGACGTTGTGCTGCTGGAAGGCCTCCCGCAGCGCAACCTTGTCTTCAGGCAGCGTGATCTTCTCCACCGTCACGTTGCCCTTGGCAGTCTTCTCGACAAACTCCTTGACGTCGTCTCCGGCGGCGTAGAACTTGTATCCAAGCGGGCTAAGATGGTCGACAACCTTGGTGAGCCAGTCTCTGTCCGTCTGGCCGCCAAGCAGGATGCCCTCACCCGGCTCCGGGACACGGAAGTTCATGGTCGACTGAACCGAAGCCCAGTAGGCGTCAACAAGGTCCTTGCCAAAGCAGGCCATCTCGCCCGTCGACGACATCTCGACACCCAGGAAGGGATCGCAGCCAGCCAGGCGCGTCCAGCTAAACTGCGGAACCTTGGTGGCGACATAGGGGCGCTTGATCTTCATGAGATCGACGGGCTCTGGGACGTCCTTGCCAAGCAGCGCCTTGGTCGCCACGTCGACAAAGTTGACACCGAGCACCTTGGACACAAAGGGGAACGAGCGCGAGGCGCGCAGGTTACACTCGATGACCTTCAGCTGGGGCTGCTCACCAGGGACATCGGCCTTGATGATCTGCATGTTGAACGGACCCGTGATCCTCCAGGCCTTGGCCACCTTTTGGGCGATCTCCTTGACGCGCTCCATAACCTGTTCGTCCAGGCTCTGGGGCGGCAGCACAAGGGTCGCATCGCCAGAGTGGACGCCGGCCTGCTCAACGTGCTCCGAGACGGCGTGGACCAGCAGCTTTCCGTCGTGGGCAACACCGTCGACGTCGATCTCGGCGGCTCCCTCGATGAATTTGCTGATGACCACAGGGTGTTCTGGGCTCACAGAGGACGCGGCCTCGAGCTTCTCGGCCAGCTCCTCCTCGCTCCGGATCACCGTCATGGCCGCACCAGACAGGACGTAGCTAGGCCGGACGAGGACAGGATATCCGACCTTGTTGGCAAATGACTTGGCCTCCTCAGTAGACGTCAGCTCGGCCCATTCGGGCTGGTCGACGCCAATACTGTCGAGGATGGACGAGAACTTCTTCCTGTCCTCAGCCTTGTCGATGTCCTGGGGGTCGGTTCCTAGGATCTTGGCCTTGCCGACCTCCTGGAGCTTCAGCGCAATGTTCTGCGGTAGCTGGCCACCAAAGCCAACCACAGCGGCCTTGGCACCCTCAAGCTCGTAAATGTCCATTGTGCGCTCGTAGCTCAGCTCCTCAAAGTAGAGCCTGTCAGCCACATCGAAGTCGGTCGAGTAGGTCTCTGGGTTGTAGTTGATCATGACCGTCTTCTCGCCGCTGCTGCGGATGCCTTTGGTTGCCGAGACGGCGCACCAATCGAATTCAACCGAGCTGCCGATACGGTAAACACCACTGCCGAGGATGATGGTACCGTTGTCGCCAAACTCAACATCGTGAACAGAGGCGTTGTAGGTGCAGTACAGGTAGTTGGTCGAAGCCGGGAACTCTGCTGCCAGGGTGTCGATCCTCTTGACGAAGGGGGTGACGCCCAGTTTCTTGCGGTGCTCCCTGACTTCGGTCTCGGTGACCTTGACACCTCCAACGGCCAGCGCCAAGGCGATCTGCTGGTCCGAGAATCCAAGCTGCTTCGCCCGGAGCACCTTGTTCTTCCTCAGGGATTGAAGGGATGGGGCGGACTCAATCTCCTTAGCGAGGTCCGCAATGTTCTGCAGCTTGTGAAGGAACCAGCTATAATTTAACCGTCAGGTCAGTATGTGAAATGCGGCAAAGAAGGGGGCGCCGCATTAGTCTTACCGGTCGATCTTGGTGAGCTCGTGAACCTTGTCAACGCTGTAGCCCTCGTGGACGATGGCATGGGCAACGGCGAGCCACCTGCGGTCTGTAGGGTTCTGCAGCTCGTAGTCAAGGTCCGGGAACTTCTCGGCATTCTTGTTGGGATTGTACCAGCCCGGGAATTTGGGGTCCACCATGCGGATGGCTTTCTGGACGGCCTCCTCAAAGGTCCTGCCGATGGCCATGACTTCACCGACCGACTTCATCGAGGATCCGATAGACCTGCTAACGTGCTGGAACTTGGAAAGATCCCAGCGGGGCTGCTTGACGACAACATAGTCCAGAGACGGCTCGAAGTTGCTGGGAAGAATGGTCAGTATGCCGAGTGGTTACATTACCGCATCACATGTCCGTGACCTAGCCGCATAAACTTACGCAGTGGTCGTCTAGGTGTCACCATCAGCAAATATTCCCCACGGCTGCGCAATATATCACTTTGGGGGTTTGCTACTCACCTTTGTGACGGCATTGGGCAGGGTGGGGAGGGCATTGCCAAGACCAATCTTGGCAGCGGTGTAAGCGAGAGGGTAGCCCGTCGCTTTCGAGGCGAGCGCCGACGACCTGGAGAGACGGGCGTTGACTTCAATCACACGGTAGTCAAGACCATCCGGCTGAAGCGCATATTGGACATTGCACTCGCCCACGACACCAAGATGGCGGACAATCTTGATGGCGGCAGACCGGACTAGAATTCATTTGGTCAGTTTCGCAACACACCATAGTGCACTTAGCTAACCATTCACTTACGCATGTGGTACTGCAGTTGAAATCGCAATTAGTTTTCCTGATCACTCGAAAAAAAAAAGAACACCGGTGCCGCTTCTAGTTACTCACCTCCTCGTCGGACAGCGTCTGCGACGGCGCCACGACGATCGAGTCGCCAGTGTGGATTCCAAGGGGGTCAAAGTTCTCCATGTCTATCGGAGTGATGACTTGTATCAGTGGCTTGCGGGTCGCACAGGCTGTCGGCGCATTGTCTCAACTCACTGCAAACTGTGATGCAGTTGTTCTCTGCATCACGAACAACCTCGTACTCAACCTCCTTCCAGCCCTTTAGACCTTCATGCAGCAGATGTCAGCATTTAATTGCTTGCTCCGCCAAGACAGAGACTCGGCAGTGGTCAGGGGGCCACTTACTCTTCTCAACCAGAATCTGGGGCGACAGGGTCAAACTCCTGGCGGCCATTTGTTTCAACTAGCAGTTTGTGAGTGAATGTCGCCAGCCGCGCAGCTTCAAAGGACATGTGCCGGCTCTCACCTCCTCGCGGTTGTTGGCGAATCCACTTCCCAGCCCACCCAGAGCATACGCCGCGCGGACGATGATGGGATACCCGATCTTCTCGGCAGCGTCCAGCGCCTCGTCAACAGTGTTGACAGCAATTGACTTGGCGATAGGGATGTTGATCTCGTCCAGGGCCCTGGCAAACAGGTCACGGTCCTCACTGAGCTCGAGGGTCTGGACGCTCGTCCCAAGCACTTTGACGCCATACTTGGCCAATATCCCCTTGTTGTGAAGCTCAACTCCCAGGTTCAGCGCGGTCTGGCCGCCGTACGCGAGAAAGATTCCGTCTGGGCGCTCGCGCTCGAAGACGTGGGTACAGTACTCGGCGGTCACGGGAAGATAGTAGACCTCGTCGGCGAGCGAGTGGTTGGTCTGGATGGTAGCGATATTCGGGTTGAGGAGGACCGAGGCGATGCCGGCCTCCTTCAGAGCCTTCAGAGCTTGTGAGCCTGGACACGCGCGGAGGCGGGGTTAGTTACATGGGCAGAGAGAACTCCCACACCAAGCTGCCATGTGACTCATAGACAAGAGCTGGAGGCTCTTGCAACAAGGCGCGCGAACCTGAGTAATCAAACTCGCCGGCCTGGCCAATGGCCAGGCCACCGCTCCCGACAACGAGCACCTTCTTGATGTCGGAGGCGGCTTGCTTGAGCATGTCGCTCGGCAAGTTCTGGAGGTACGAGCTGGCATCAGGGGCAGGCTGTGCCAAGGCGGCTGCGGTCGCGGTAAAAAGGCGCTTCGGCACCAGCTTGGACTGGGCGAGGCCGTCGTGTGTTTGCGACAACCTCAGCGCAGCTGTGCGAAGCTCCGGCCTGGCGGCGCGAGTGAAAGTGCGGGCGGCCAGAGGCTGGCAGAGGCGCGGGGCGGCCAGGCCCTGGGATCGGAGCAGAGCCGGAGCTCGGCCGGCCAGTCTGCTCGCCATGGCGTGGGCGTGTGTGTCAAGGAGGGTGCTTCGGGGCCGTCAATTGCTTGCACCAGAGCTCGAGGGATCCGAGGAGAGCAAGTCAGATGGGAATTGGAGTCCCAATTATGAACCCCCGAGGTTGGGTTCCACGGTCGAGAGCGGTTGAGCTTTGACAGGCGTTTTGGCCGGGTGTAACAGAATCGGCCGGGGATGGATGCGTGACCGGACCGGGGACGGAAAAAAAAAAGTTTGTCAAATCACTGCGTCACGCCCCAAGCTACAGTGGGGTGACAAAGTATCAACAGGTTTTGGATCGTCAGGGCGATCCGCTTTTCAACAGGTGAAGTTCACGAACACGCTGCGTTCGAAAAAAAAAAAAGGCCCGCAAAAAGAAGAGAAAAGTAACAGGATAAGCGGATTCTATTGATACGTTTGAGATTGAATTTACGCCTAAGTCAAGGCTTAACTGCGACTGTGAGAGTCCGCCGAACTCAAGGCACGATACGAGGCGTTGTGGAGAACTAGAAAATCCCATGGATACTTTCGTCCTCCGGAGGTCGGATCCTGCGCGCATGCCTGCAACCTCTGGGACATGCATTGGGGAGTGCGCCCGTCCATCCAATGGGCATTCGCGATAAGACAGCAGAATCTTCGCTTTCACGATAGGGCCGGGGGCTAACCTGATCCGAGCATAACTTAGAATAGTACTTTCCCCCGTTCTACTTGATCGGTATTCATTCATCGCCTGTCTCCTTTGGGAACCGCGTCAGGCCACAGCAGCATCATGGCAGAGCAGCAGCAGTCGCCCGCCGCCGTGCGCATCACGGCCATGGCCAGCGGCAACGGCTCCAACTTCCAGGCCGTCCTGGACGCCGTGGCCGATGGCGGCATCCCCGACGCGCAGGTGGTGCGGCTCTTTGTCAACCGCAAGAAGGCCTACGCCCTGGAGCGCGCGGCCGCGGCCGGCGTGCCGTCGACCTACTACAACCTGATCGGCGCCGGCTTCCAAAAGGCCGGCGACAGGGACCCGGAGTCGGTCGCGCGCGCGCGCGCCGCCTACGACGCCGCCCTGGCCGCCCTGGTGCTCGAGGACCGGCCGGACCTCGTGCTGCTCGCCGGCTGGATGCACGTCTTCTCCGAGGCCTTCCTGCGGCCCCTCGCCGACGCTGGCGTCAAGTGCATCAACCTCCACCCGGCCCTGCCCGGCAGGTACGATGGCGCCGGCGCCATCGAGCGTGCCTTCGAGGACTTCCAGCAGGGGAAGCTCGAGGGCGGCAAGACCGGCATAATGATGTGAGTAGATCCTTGAAGAACTCCTAGATGGACGGCGTGAAGCCGAAAATAAAAGGGGGCCAACTCCTAATCCAGCTTGTGCAGTCACTACGTCATCGCCGAGGTGGATCGTGGCGAGCCCATCACGGTGCGCGAGATCGAGTGCCGAGAGGGCGAGGCGCTTGCCCAGCTCGAGGAGAGGATACATGCCGCCGAGCATGAGTTGATTGTCAGCGCCACAGCCCAGGTCGTTGGCGAGATAGCCGCTAGCAAACAGACGCGGAAAGAGTAAACACATTCTGCCTTGGTTCTTGGCGTGTTGTAGGAGTAGGGGTGATGATATTCGTAGCAAAAAAAAAAAAAGGCGTGAAGGATAATGCGAAACCGATGATCAAAAAGGATACAAATGGCGCGTCGTACATATCCCGGGAAATCCCTTCGGAAATGAAATAAGGAAAATACCAAGGAAAACACACCGATACCCATATACTCAAATTTCCGTACTTGCAATAGTACTTGTCCAACTGTTACTAATAGTACCAATATGTGTTTTTACTTGGGGAACGTGCAAATATGCTGCTCAGGTGCTGATAAAC